GTGTTTTCTGGTGACAGCTCTAATGCTGTACAGGAGAGGTTAAGCTTTATTAGCTCCACCTGCCGGTTTTACAAGGTGATTCCAGATACTATTAACATAATCTAATTTGCATATGATATATTGCGGTATATTGAGACACGTCCACTGCATTGTACCGCAGCATACCCCGCTCGTTTTGAATGGCATCTGTATACCTCTTGCATTTGATAAAATCTCGCATATCAGAAAGATACCCTGACACTATAAAGTATGCAGGTGTGTGCCTGTGCTCTGAGACCCTGTGCTGCTACCTGTGTGCAGATACTGGCTGTGGATTGGTCAGTTCAAATACCTGGAGCGGATAGCACCGATGGGCCAGAGGGCGTGTTTCCAGAGCTCGGCCACGTCAGCCTGGCGGAGACAGAGCTCCTGAGGGAGAGTGTGAAGGAGGTGCTCCTCTATTCCGGGGAAGTGAACCCCCTTTCTGAACAGGTACTGCCACTACACACACAAGACACACATAAAGCCAGCGTGTCCTGAGAACCACACCGCACAAACACAGTGCATTGTCCTTCCGCTGGGGTCCTGCAGTTATTTCCATACTGAGACTCGAGTACTGCATGCATGTTTATAGTATAGTTGTACATTGTATAAATGGGATATGTTCGTGAAACTTGCTTTTAAATAATACTTTTGGTCACACAAGATTTGCTTTCTACAAAACCCAGTTTTCAACAAGGCGCTATTATATTTTCACTCAATCATGGTACTTAATGGATCTCATATCCTTCAGTGTATCTGGATAGCAGTTTCTATTCAAGAATCACACTGCAGTCAAAAACGTTTATATAAGGGGTAATGTAGAGTAATATGCGCAGGCAACTGCTCATTGAAGATTTTGTGTTGCCCCTCAGCAGAACCTGGAGGGTTTGCAGAGGCTCAGGGATTTTCTGCAGAGCCACCGGGATCTGGAGGAGAGGTTTCAGGCGGAGGTCCAGGACCTGCAGTCTCTAGAACTGGAGTTGCAGAAGCCTGGAGACAAAGACAGTGAGGACAACCGAGCCAAGGAAGCAGGTGAAGAGCTTTAGTAACTATTAATAGTATTTATTAACTGTGTCTGACAGAGAGTTTTATGTTGCGTGGAGAACTGTATTACCTGGAGTCACTTCTTAAGAATTTTGGAAAATTCCAGATATTCTATTAAGCATCCTATAGTGTTAGAAAAGAAGCAACATTTGGTAACACAATTCTTGAGTTGCTAACAAACCTATTTATTCTGCACTGAATCTAAGTCAAAGCCAAATAGTTTCTTCTTTACCGTGAAGCACTGTGCCAGAAAAGCTTGCTCAGGTGTAATGTGTAGGTGTAACCAATCCTGATCCCTGATGGTTCCTGGTTTAGGAACGCTTTAGCATGTTGTAAAATGTGTCCAGTCTCCTCTGATTGCAGAGGCTGCTGTCTGTGGCCCAGCTGCAATAAAAAGACTTACGGAAACCACCAGGGCCAATTTTCCCAGAAGCCAATTAACTTGCCAGCATGTCTTTGGACTGTGGGAGGAAACCATGCAAACATGGGGAGAACATACAAACTCCATACGCATAGTACTCCAGGTCCAGAATTGAACCCAGGGCCTCAGTGCTGCAGGACAGCAGTACTAACCGTGCCACCCCTGACATGACTGGTTGTCAGAATATGCGTCAGGTGAATCAGTATTATATCACTTGATGCTTTTATGGCATGTAGTTGTCAGCCAGAGGGGTAGAGTATTTCAGGCTCAGCTGTCTGTTGGTCATCCTTGGAGACAGGCTTGTCCCTTGGTGCTTTCTGGAGTTCGTATACTCGTACACTCGAACACACCCCTTCGTACACTCAAAGTACGCTCTAGGTGTCTGTTACCCAAAAAGAAAGAATGCCTAGCAAGATGTAGCGACCAGATGTTCTTTAGAATAAGCCAGGGTTTGTAATCTACAGAAATAATAAAAGTGAAAGGAATAAACAACACTCATTTGCAACTTCCAAGTTCACTGACTAAACTGCTCATTTTCTTTACTTTAAGCATTGAGAGCCACTCAGTATAGGGGGCTATAAAGTTGGATAATTTGAAATAAAAATGTATGATTTTTATGCTGTCTTGTCTTCTAGGTAGTGCTCCGCTAGATAAAGAATGACTGAAGAAGATATGGTAAGCTGTACAGATGCTGTCACGATCGTAAACCCCTCCTCTTAAGGACGCACCTGCCTAAGGATGCACTTGCCTCCGGTTCCTGCCCCTCGTCCTATAAAAGCCAGATGCTCACTCTGTTCTGGGCTCTGCATTGGTTCCTGTACCAGGCGAGTCCGGGACTTTTGCTCAAGGCTACAATAATAACCAATAAGCTAGCTATCATGCCAATCTGTAGGCAATTGCTAAACTGATCACACATTGCCTGTGTGAGCTCTGGTATACTGTACATAAGAGTGAGAAAATCCCTGCTGGAACATAATCTCCTTGCTCAGCTTTCAAGTGTGTGTTTGTGTGAGAGCTCAAAATTGTGGTACCTACACAAAATTGTGGTACCTACTGTAAATCATGGTGTGAAATAGCAGTTTGTTCAGATTTGCATAAAAAGTGCTCATTTTAAATGAGACTGTATGAGCTGTCCAATAACTTGGAGACTCAAGGCATTGTATAATTCCTCATTTGCACAGCATATTTTCTTCTTTATGCACCTATCCCTGAATTGTACGTGGCATAATTTAATACTTTCTTGGGCATTTTTACTGTTAGGTGACCTTTGGAACAATCTTCTGGATTACATCCAACAATCCATGACTGAAGACTGCAGTATTTTTCAACTGTGCCTGATCAATACCATTGTCGTGGGAAACTGTATCAGATGTCGACAACATTTGTACTGCGTTTCAGTTTTAAATAGGTGTTTTAATATGTTTTCTGCAATGTTTGCTTCTCTGAATAAATAATGTCTTTCAATCCTTGAACTGCCCAATACAGGGTGTATTATAATTATAATAATAATTGCTTTCACTTAGATAGCGCTATTCTGGACACTCCACTCCAAGCGCTTTACAGGTAATGGGGACTCCCCTCCACCACCACCGATGTGCAGCATCCACCTGGATGATGCGACGGCAGCCATAGTGCGCCAGAACACTCACCACACATCAGCTATCAGTGTGGAGGAGAACAGAGTGATGAAGCCAATTCATAGATGGGGGTTATTAGGAGGCCATGATTGGTAAGGGACAATGGGGATTTGGCCACAACGCCGGGGTTACACCCCTACTCTTTTCAAGAAACGCCCTGGGATTTTTAATGACCACAGAGAGTCAGGACCTCGGTTTTACATCTCATCTGAAGGACAGCGCCTGTTTACAGTATAGTGTCCCCATCACTATACTGGAGCATTAGGACCCACATGGACCGCAGGGTGAGCGCCCCCTGCTGGTCCCACTAACACCTCTTCCAGCAGCAACCTTAGTTTTTCCCAGGACGTCTCTCATCCAGGTAGTGACCAGGCTCACACCTGCTGAGCTTCAGTGGGTTGCCAGTTGTGAGGTGCAGAGTGATATGGCTGCTGGCGCTAAAGAGTATTGTGTTAACGGTTGTCTTGGATGTCCATTTGATTTCATATCAGGCTTTGTTTTGGTCTGTTTGTTTTGTCAGTAAAACATCTCTTCTGCCAACCTGGGTAGAGACTGGCAGAACTTTGAAGAACACGTTTGCATGAAGAGCTCCAGCCAGATCACTTTGTATTAGCATTAAAACTTCTTCATCATCTTTTACTATATTTCTTGATTTCTCTTAAGCGTCCTTTGTTATTTGATATCATCTGTTGTCATCTTATTCTTTTAGAAAAGTTAGTATTGATTGGTTCAGAAACATTCTCCAGGATAAGCCTCCTATTTCTTTGATGCTAGCATGCCCCAGAATAATGTACCTATGAACTGTAGGCCAAGACTGTAATATGACAGATGTGTAATACAGATAATTAAAATATCTGAAGCATTACACTGCTATACTTGTAGGCTGATTTTTGCAAGCACTTAAAATTTTGAATGTCTCTTTTTTCAGATGAGACAGCCTGATGACAGATGATGGCCAGATGGGTCATTTTTGCTAAATTTGCAAAAAAATCAATTTTATGTAGAAAACAACAGAACTGTAAATTTGCTTTTCAGAGTATTTGAATCAAAGTGTGGCTATGGGTGTTTAAGAGTGTACTGCACTGAACAAGCATAATTTCTTACCGAACATCTGTTGGGATCTTGGTTTGGCAGGCTGACGTGACATTGATGTATTAATTAGACGTAATTAAGACAATGTTACTTTAAGTAAGATTATTACGATAATATTGCTCCAAATACATATGTACATATACAGCTGAAGTGCAGTAGAACAGCGCCCCAGAATAAAACAAGCACGAAAACTGTTCACTAAAATGTACATTTTATTAAGCAGCAGTAGACTAAATATCGTAATATAGTTTTATAATTATTGTACCAAAAATGTTCATATTTTAGGAACACCAGTATCGATTCCAGAAAGCGTATTTTTACACCTCTTGCAAGTATATTTAGAGCCTTAAAACATACAGTGAAATTAAGTAAATTAAGGCTAATGAAACCACCTTAAACAATACCACATATATGTTAAAGGTTAAAGTGCTGTACAGGTCTGAGTTTAAATCTGGTAAATATATTTTACAACATGTATGCAGTAAATATAGAAGGGCACAGCTGCGAGAATAGACAACACCCTCAGTTCCAGGAAATAAGAAACCTGCTGAAAGTACCGAGTAAAATCGTGGTGAGAACTGGGAAGGATAACGATTTTCTCTGGCAAAATATCGTAGTCAAAATTTCAGAAATTGCACACAACTCTCCAGTTTATAGTGAAAACTATATCGTATTCTGTTTCATGATGTCCAAAATGTACTTATGCTGAAACGTTTACCTTATTAAGAACTTAATTTTAGAAACTTAAATTCGAGGTAGATCTATAGAAAAGATATTAATTTATCAGAAACGTGCTTCTTAAATCTTATGTATGCTTTAGAATGATAACATTATTAATAAGAGATGAATAATAACATTAACATTAATAATAAGACACACCCATTTTTTGTTGAAACGTAACAATACTCCAAAGGTTACTTTTTACTCCATTAAAAGTAACAAATAAAATAAAAAGTTTCCCTGCTTTATGTCTACTCGTGAAACATTGCTACTTCGTAGCACAAATGCAGTTTATTATACATACTGTATAAGTCGCTTACTATAAAGGCGCTGAATAAATCTACTGTAGTGCACTATGCTCAAAGCTCATGGCTCATGGCCGTGACGTAATTCAACCTATCAGAATCATGTGAACTGGAGACTCGGCCGGCCCAGATGACAGCTTTGCGCGATTCTTTCCTTCCCGATCTGGAGAGCCCGACAAAGCCAAGTTGGTGGCAGAGCGAATCGGCATAGTGTCGATAGAACAGACGACTTAATCGTCCTTGCCAGCGTTGGTCGTGATGGCGGCTTTAATGCAACATCGATTCACCGATACCGAGTACAAGAACTGGCTGAAAACTACCATGACTCTGCTGTTACTGAGAACCAGGCTCGAAACGTTTCTGGAAAACGAAACCGAAACCTTTCACTCTCAGCTCGGCAATAAATTGATGGGACAGAAGTGTCAGGCTCGCCCCCCGTGTAATACGAAAAGCTGCGGACCTCAAGGCACCAAGGTAGGTAGAGAGCTGTGAAAAAGATCTTTCCCCCTGAATGATGTTCTGCACTACTGCATATTTTTCACAATGAATGGTATCAGATCTTCAAACAAAATCTAATATTAGATAAAAGGGACCCTGAGTGAACAAAAAACACATTTTCAACATTTTGATATGTATTTCATTTATTTGTCAAAGAATGTTAGGCAACACCCAATGCACTGTGTGAAAAAGTAATTGCCCCAGTAGACTTAATAACTGGTTAGTCTACTTTTAGCAACTGTAACTGCAACCAGATGTTTCTTGTAGTTATTGATCAGTCTGTCACAAGGCTGTGGAGGGAAGTCTGGCCCACTCCTCCATGCAGAACTGCTTCAATTCAGTGACGTTTGTTGGTTTTCGAGCATGAACTGCTCTTTACAGGTCCTGGTACAACATGTATGTCTTTAACCAGGCCACCCCAAAGCTCTTTAGCTCTTGTTCTTCAACCATTCCGATGCAGACTTGCTTGTGTGTTTCGGATCATTGTCTTGCTGCATGACCCAGCTGTGCTTCAGTTTCAGATCGCGATCGGATGGTCTCCTGTAGAATCCTCTGATTCAGAGCCGAATTCATGGTTTCCTCAATGATAGCAAGACATCTAAGTCCTGATGCAGCAAAGCATCCCCAATCCATGACACAACCACCACCATGCTGGACTGTTGGTATAACTTTGGAATGCTTTGTGTTAGGTTTTTGCAAGACATAACGGGGCTCATGTCAGCCAAAAAGCTCCGCTTTTGACGCATCTGTCCATAGAACATTGTTCCATAACTCTTGAGGACCATCCAGGTGCAATTTGGTGAGCACTCATGTTCTTCTTAGAGAGCAGTGGTTCCACCTTGCTGCTCTGCCATGGGTCCTATTTTAACCCAGTGTCTTTCTGATGGTAGAGGCATGAACACTGACTTTAACCAAGCCAATGTTGTTCTAGGGTTCTTTGTGACTTCCTGGACAATTTCATGCCTTGCTCTTGGAGAGATTTTGGCAGGACAGCCATTCCTGGGAAGATTAACTACTGTTCCAAACTTTCTCCTTTGTACAATATAGTTCTGACAGTGGTTTGGTGGAGCCCCAGAGCCTTAGAAATGGTTTTGTAAGCATTTCCAGACTAATGAACAACAATGTTTTTCTAGAGGCTTTCAGGAACCCTTTCCAGACTAATAAACATAAGCAATGTTTTTCTAGAGGTTTTTTTAGGCCTTTCTTTTGACTGGGGCATGATGTGCCTCTAGATCCTGTATGCTAACAACTTCACTTCTGATGATAAGGGCCGGCGTTAGTCAGATTTATATTAGGCAGGGCTGGCATAACACAGGCCTGACTGTTTACCAGAGTGTTCAAACAGCTGACCCTAATTATTCCTTTAATTGGGTTGAGTACACTAGGTGGGGCAGTAACTTTTTCACACCTGTAGATTGCATGTTTGATTACCATGCACACCAAACAAATGAAAGAAGCCATTTTTCTCTCAGACTCTGCTCTATATACTACTACTACCCCTGAACATTTCTGAACAAGTTCATTTTGCAGAAAATCAGACAGGGGGTAAATACTTTTTCACATATGTTGTTTGGGTTAGTAACAGTGAGCCCCAAAGTTCACCACCCCTGTCCTGGAGAGCCTCAAGTCCAGGAAATTTAAGGCTTACCACAGTGAATCATCAATCCTTTATGACCTGAAACAGGTTAGGTTTGTTCAATTAATTAGGTGATTGGTTAAGTTGTATAATTAAGATAACAATTTGGTTATAAAATGTGAGTACCCTTTAATTCTAATAGATATTTTTTCTGACAGGAGCACTTTACTTTATGAAATGATAAATAACTTAAATTTGTTTCAGATACATGATTTTGATATATGTAATGAACTATATAACTTACCAGAGTACCAACAACCAGTACCAGGATTAAAGACCCCTGTTGGATCCTGATGCATTTTGGGTGCCTGGTGGACATTTTTGGATTACGTTTCTGCTATGGCACTTTTGAAGCCATAATGAGGTGTGTGAAACACATGATGTCTGAGATTTAAAACATATCCTAACTGATATGTCTCAGTTTGTCTTTTAAACTAAACGGGTTCACCCCAATTAAGATTTGTATTTTATTTCCAAGGGTAAGGTACCTACTGAGGAATATTTGTATGGAATTCCTGTAGGTAAACACCGTGCCCACATGGTGCATTTTAAACCATCTCAGCTGCCTTCAGGACAGCCTTCAACACAAATAGAGTAATAGTAATTGCTGTATTGTGTTAGAAAAGCAGATGGTGTAGTATCAACCTACTCTGTGTGTACTCTCTCATATCTAAAAAATGTTCAGGTTTGTTTGGGGAAGAACCCTGCTTGTGGTAGACTGGCTGTGAGGACCTTTGTGTGTTAACTACTCGAGCACTAAATGTAATTAAGATCCTGTCTTTATCGACGAGTTTAAAATACAAACAAAAAATCCATACATAAAAAAAATAAAAGTTCTCCTTCTTTTAAACCTAGAATCGTCCATCCTAGTGTTCATTTAATATAACCTTCAGGTGAATGTATGTACGAAACTAAGCAAGTGAAATTGTTCAGAGCTTAAAGGAAAGTTGTATTCCCTCTTGGCGAATAGTCTATGCAGAGGTCCTCAGCTGCTTCCTTCAAGGGCTTCAATTAGGAAAGTGTCACAGACGTGTCCTGAGATCCAGTGGTCTACTTTCTCCCCAAGCCTCCTCAGGTGTGTCCCGCTTGCACACAGTGGAAAGATGAAATCCTCTCGAACCACAGCAACAGGAAAGGGATTATTTACTGGAATAACAGCCGGCCTCATCTGTGGCCAACAGAGAAATGGGAAGTGGCAAAGGTAAGTCAGTGGACACTGCTGCTGGTTCTGTTTGTTCCAGAAATTAACCACCAGGAAGTAGCCACCAAGATATACAGTTGTATGCAACAGTTTGGGCACCCCTGGCCAAATTACACGTTTTGTTGATTTTCTAAGTGAAAAGAAGTTAACACAACCTCAGCAGTGAACAAACTTAAACTTGACATATTTCTGCAAATTTTAATGCACAGTTACTATTTATTTTCCGTGACATAGCTACCAAATGAGCCACATTCCTTGATGTTCACCTAAACATTTCTGCTGTAATGGAAAACCTCTAATGTGCTTTAATTTGTCTCTCTTACAAAAGAATGGTACGTTCGTTCCTAAGATAGGAAAGATAATAATAAACTTTATTTTATATAGCGCCTTTAAAGGTGGCTTCTCAAAGCGCTTTACAGAATGACAACAACAATAAAGAAGAAGAATACACAAGATAAAACACAATTACAATATATAGAGGAGACCGTGGATGGTGGTACTAAGAGGAGCAGAGGGGTGAAGAATGGAACCAGTTAAGTAAAGGCTTTTCTGGAGAAGAGGGTCTTGAGTCTGGATTTGAAGGAGTTTAGAGAAGGTGACTCTCTGATATCCTTGTGCAAAGAGTTCCAGAGCTTGGGGGCATAACAGGAGAAGGCCCTGTCACCCATACAATGTAGACGGGCTTGGGGGACAGTAAGGAGGGCAGAATTTGAAGAGCAGAGGTTGGGAGGTGGGGAGTAGGGCGATAATAATTCAGACAGGTATTGAGGTGCCAAGCCATGCAGAGCCTTATAGGTAAGCATGAGGATTTTAAAGTCTACATGGAATTTGACCTGAAGCCAAATTCAAGGACTCCAGGACAGGAGTAAGGTGAACACTTGCTCTAGACCTGGTCAGGATTCTGGCGGCTTAATTTTGGACATACTGCAGTTTGTTCAGAGTAGATTGTGATACCCCTGCAAGTAGAGCATTACAGTAGTCAATTCAAGAGAATACAAATGTGTTGATCAGCTTTTCAGCCACAGTTGGTGATAGCATAGGGCGTAGTCTTGCGATATTTCTAAGGTGAAAAAAAGATGTTTTGACAGTATGCTGCACATGTGGGTTGAATGTTAAGCCAGAATCTAATATAACCCCTAGGTTTTTCAATTTTGATTGAAGCTCAAGTACAGAGCCATCTACAGAAAGGGTTACAGGACTGGCTTGATGAAGTTGATGGGGGGTACCAATAAGTATGACTTCAGTCTTGTTGCAGTTGAGATGAAGGAAGTTTTGAGTCATCCAAATTTTTATGTCAGAGATGCAATTAGATAGAATAGAGACAGCCACATCATTGTCAGGTTTGGTATGGATGTATATTTGAGTATCGTCCGCGTAAAAATGAAAGCTGAGGCCATGTGATCTTAAAAGCTGACCAAGAGGGAACATGTAAATGCTGAAGAGCAAGGGGTATTGAGCAGTATTGGGCAGTATTGAGCCCTGAGGGACACCAGACATAACAAGACCAATTTCAGACCTGTACCCATTAAGAGAGACAAAGTGACAGCGATCAGTGAGGTAAGATTTGAACCATTTGAGGGCAGTGTCAGAAACTCCAAACACAGTCTTAAGACGAGAGAGTAAGATGTTATGGTCAACAGTGTCAAAAGCAGCACTGAGATCAAGAAGGATGAGTATAGGGAGAGAACCAGAATCAGAAGCTATTAGAAGATCGTTGGTGACTTTGACCAGGGCCGTTTCTGTGCTGTGAAGTTGACGGAAGCCAAATTGGAGGTGTTCAAAGAGGTTGTTTGTCATGAGGTGGTTATGTAACTGAAGTGTGACAGCACGTTCGAGAATTTTAGAAGGAAAGGGTAAGTTGGAGATGGGGCGAAAATTGTTAAGATTGTCGAGAGCCATGTTAGGCTTTTTTGGCACAAGGGTAATGGAAGCAATTTTGTGGACCATTGGTACAACGCCAGTGCTCATGGATTCATGTAAAATATTGAGGACAATGGGACAGAGAGAAGAGAAACAGGACTGGAATAAAGTGGTGGGAATGGGATCTAAAATAGATGTGGGTTTCATGCCTGTAACTAGTTTGTTGAGGGATGCTGAGTCAAGAAGAGAGAAGCTGGAGAGAAGGGAACCAGAGAAGTTGGATGAGGAGGGAGGAGGTATGGAAATGATATGCGTAGTGGAGAGAATGTGATGCCTGATCTTGTCAATCTTAGAAGTAAAGAAATCTAAGAATGTGTTGCAAAGTTGTGATGAGGCAGGTAATGTGGTAGGGAAGTTTGGCTTGAGCAGTCTGTTGATGATGGAGAAAAGATGTCTGGGGTTGTTTTGGTGATTTTCAATGATGTGAGAGAAGTAGGTGGATCTAGCAGACTCTATGGTAACCTTATAATCAGATAAGTAATCTCTCCAAGCCTGATAATGTACATTTAGGCCAGAAAGATGCCACCTACGCTCAAGTTTGCGAGAGGCTGCCTTCATGGATCGCAGATGGTCATTGTACCAGGGGGCAGGGCGAGAGAAAGAGATGGTTCGAGTTTTTAAAGGAGCAAAGGTGTCAATGGTAGATAAAAGAGCACTGTCAAGTAACTGTATTTTGTCTTCTAGAAGGTCAGAGGAAGAGGAACAGGATAAGGAGGACAGAACAGAATTTGCAAACCTTGGGTGATCAATTGATCACCAGTTGCGGAACGAAGAATCCATATTAAAGAAATAAAGTTCAATTATTCTGTTGGAAGTGTCTGGTCTGGGCTGGGGCTGACGCTGGTCACCTAACTCACCAATCAGGCATCTTCTAATATCTTCTAATCGAACCACCAATTAGTACTCTGACTATAGGCTTGATTTGCCACTAGACCGGTGCTCTGACATTGGAGCTTCTGTGCGCTGTCTGGCTAGCAGCTCCACGTTCATCGTCTGTGTGCAACCAAAACCGAAAGCCAAGACTCGCCAGGACTGGCCCGGCGATGAAGCTCGGCTGTCGTATCCAGATACCCCAGCAGCCTGAATCCCCGGGCAGCTCTCAGCCCAGCAGCTCACTTTCTGCTCTTACGTCTACCCACTCTGCCCTCTGTTTTCTTGGTCCCCAAAATCTCCTGAAAAGCCCCGAAGCCCTGCGCCTGGGTTGCTCCCTGTCAGTTTGCCCTGCAGCAGCCATGGTGGTAACAGGAAGAAAATGTGTTCATTAGAAACATTAGAAACTGCAATTTTAAAGAAATGCTGCACAGTGAACTGAAAAAAATTGAATAACATTTTCAGACAAAGAATCAGTTTTAAAGCACTGCAGTTTCCAGATTTTCTGACAGAGCAAACATTTATCTTAAAGTTTGTATTATTTTTACAGGCTGGCTTGAGAAAATTGTGAATAGGGTTTTTGTTTTGCAATAGGGGATGAGCTGGAAAGAAAGAAGTGCACATTCACATTCAAATTCTGAATAAAAGAGGAGCCTGTACAGTAGGTATCTTAGTCCTGTATGTGAATTTGGGAGTCTGGGGTTGGATCTGACTCTAGTTTCTGTTGTTTATTGTAGGTCTACATGCCACGAGGAAACAAGGACCACAGCAAAGTGCAGGATTTTGATATCTCTGCATTCCTGAATTTGATGAAGGTCTGCACTCACTTCAAGAAGTATGTGAATACCATAGCACTGGACCAGGTACTGTCCCAATAGCCAGCACTTACAGCGTTCCTTGGGATGGTATTTAATTTAAAACCTTGGACTAATCTGGAATTCACCATCATTTGCATTGCTGGCTTAAGTATTGTTAGTGCCTGTCGCTTGACAGGCACAGTCTGAACAAGCACCAGATCCTCCATGCCAGGAAACCAGTCCACTGGTGAGAAATGTGTTCACTCTCTTGTTTGAGTTGTGACATCCCACTGGATGTGCTGTAATGAGATCTTTAAAATAGGTGGGTCCAGGAAAACAGACACAAACATAGCTGTAAAATCTAAACTGTGCAATTTACACAAATTATAATAAACATATTACAATACCTGAAGGGGCCTTGGATTGAGGAACGGACATGGGCACCTGCTCGCTATTTCCACATGCCTCAGTTATTAAACACCATCCACACATGGCACCCCTGAATGCTCCTGTGTCCAGGGAGTCTCATTGGGTGGGGGGTGGGGGTGCACTGCCATGCCCAGGTGGACAGCAGTTCGCAGTCCTTGGATGCTCTGGCAGCCTGTAACATTTCCATAAATGATCACATTCATCTTGGGACCATCCCAACACACTCAGGCCATTTGTTAGTGTGCCTCTCACCCTATCAGTCATGCAATCTATTATCCAATCAATCATCCAATTTGATTTCCCATATTTAAAACATATTATGCCACTGAAATGTTGCTCTGACATTGAGATTCCCCAGGAAGTGCTGCACTTAGTTCTGAGAGACCCAACAGACTGATAACCTGAAAATCAAAAAACGTCTGAGACCTGAAACCTGTAACCTGAAACATGTCTGCTACCATGACAACCAGCACCGATCCAGTGGCACCTTCCCAGAACCGTCTGCTAGTTTGCAGTTTCTTCTACTCTGACCACCATAAATCTTCTCCATCCCTGTTTGTCGTCAGCTGTCTCTGGTGAGTGCCGAGTGCCTTCAGCCTCGGCTTTTTCTGCCAGCCGCCAGAGATCACCAAATCCCTGCAAATCCTGCCTGTCAGTAACCATGTCTGGTTCAACAAACGTGTTGAAACACCATGAGGGTAACAAAAACCTCACAAACCAAAGCACCTAAGTAAAAGCCTAACTTTTCTTTGAGCATAGTCCCTGGACTAACATGTCAGGCAACTAAGCTGATTTCGGGCTTTAAAATTAACAAAACTTCAGTCTCTCTCTGAAACATTTCACAAATGAGCTCTCATCTTTCCCCGGGATTCTTTAAAAAACCTGACAGTTTCTTTGTCCACAGTTCCAGAGTTCCACAGATCCGGGTCAGTTCTTCTCCTCTCTCTGGAGATTTTCACATGACCCTCTGCTCTCTTTGTCTTCTCACAATTAGTCAGGTGACTGGGACAGCAGTCCCCCACTTCCCAAAGGCTTCTGGGGAATGTGTCACGCCCTCTGCAGCCAGAGGGCGCTCCTTCTCTGTCCTGTCCCTAGTTTCCAGTCTGCTGTCCTTCCTGTCCCTCTCTTTCCCTTGGGCTATATATTTCTGGGTCTTGCACTCTGTCTGCTCAGCATTGACGTTCTGATGTCCTGACACCCGCCTAGCACTAGGGCGCCCCACGTCCGCTCCCTGAGGGCATAGGTTTCTTTCCGGCATTCCTGAACTCTTTGCACTAATGAGCCCGGGCCTTTTTTCCGTCTCGCCGCTACGCATCTGGGTTTTTTTTCCGCTCTCCTACTCCCCACGGTTAGTCCCTTTGGACGTCCGTGACAAATGATGTCCAGACAAGACCACAGCTTCATCCTTACACTGTGCTTTCACTTTGTGCAACCCTCTTTGTTTCAACTTCAACCAGAACAAATTTCAACCAGATTATTGTTCAATTATTTTCTTACTGACCATATAAATTGTCTTGAATGCAAGATTAAATTCAGTTGTGTTGTGCTTCCACCTTCATAGCTGCACTGACACATCACATTTAATTCTGTTTGAAGAGTGCAGACTTACAATTGCCTGTGTCTTTCCAGCTTATTTTTTAAGGAGTCGTTAAGGGGGAATCGTGTGTGGCCACTATGTAACTGCAATCCGTTGCAGTGAATACAAATAATTATTTTTGATCAAGTTGTTAACCTTCAACAAAGATCATATTAGGTTGCCTGAGGTGTTCAAAAACAACATAATAGTAAACTGAGATTTTAGAAGACTGAAACAATTGCTTTTAGTGCATTGTGTATTGTTTCTGGTTGAAGTTAAGAAAAGATATGCAAGCAATACTTAAGGAGCTTTAGGCCTGGGTAGGTCATTAATTGTGCTCTATGTTCATGAAGGTTACCAATGTAAGAAACAAGATGATGCATTCGGCTGATATGAAGGTGGCAACACAGGACATGATGACGCACATGCAGAAAATTCTGCACCTTGTTACTGAGCTGAAGAAACACGTGCCTAGCATGTTCGAGCTGGAGACCGCAATTAAAGAGGTGAGACACATTGGAGACTGCTGTTCATCACTTGTAGGTCAGTGGAAGTTCTTATTTTTTTTTATTTACAAACTTTTGTTTTACCTACGCGCTTTGGAATCTTGGTTCTCAGCTAGGGTTCCTCAGAGGCGAATGAGGAAGTGTAGATTGACTCCTCTGCCCCGCCTATATTAGAATCACTCGTCTTTCAACATATTACAGGCAGCCCAGTACCGGTGAACTGATGGCGTTTGGAGGAGAAGGGTGTCCCTAATTACCAGAACTCCAATCCTGTAAGCACCCAGGAGGCCACAGGGGGCACTGTATCGCTGAGCTGTCTAGTCCAGCCCTACCCTCAGTTGAGCTCAGCCAGATGAACACTGCCATTTGTGGAATCAGTCACAGTCAGCTAGTAACATGACTAAGGCTTAAACCTGTGATCATAGTGCTCAGCCTGCATTATTGGCCTGTGGCAGTTCTTCATGGTTAAATGAAGAGGAGTCTTCAGCTGAAATTAGGGCAGGATTTCTCAAACCTTGAGAACCTCTATATTTGTTGTTGCGTACAAATTAGATCTTATATTAAGTTCGGCCCTCAGTTGGATTGATTGCTCCATTGGATTGTTCTAAAAAGGTCTCTAGCCCTGGACGTGGAGAACCCCAAAGCAGAGTTTCTAACGATTTGGAATCACACTGAGATCAATTAAGCAGGAGATTTGTGAAATGACCCATTTAGGACCCCAAATCTTAATTTAACTGAATGAATAAGTAACTTAATGGGACTCTTAATTCTTTAGAAACAGACGACCTTTAACTATATTGGGGCTCTTGAAGACCAGGGTTGGAGACCTCTTAGTTTGAAGTCTTACATGGAAATTTCAAGTGAATCAAAAAATGTACATATTATAATTAATATCTTTAGGGCTCAATTAAGTAATTAAGAACTTAGATGACTTGAAAAGCAGAAGACAGAGCAGTTGTGAAGACGGAGGTGTAGGAGTACCTGAGTTAAGTGGCAGTTTATGTTTAAGCCTCCTGAGCTTTTTGACCAGGTCTTGTAGATTTCCTGGGGAGTCACAGAGTCTCCTGTTTTTTTTTTTGTTTTAATGGAGCCCTCAGTGGTTTAGTTATTTAAGCAAAAATATTAGAAGTTTTTTTTCCTCTCCAGAAGACATTTTGTATTCAAGTGCTGGTGTTTGCCCTCATTTCTCCCACCTAGTCGAGCATTTTCTCTTGTCACCAGCTGCAGGAGACTGAGCTCAACATTCTGTTAGGGAATGTGGAGCAGAAGCCTGACTTACCGGTGTTTGAAAGCGGCAGCCTTGTCGACACTTTACTGAGCGTACAGAAGATCCACGACCTGGAGCAGCAGGCGCTGAAGGAGAAGATCGAGTCCTTGGCCCTTCGTTTTGAGGATGAGAAAATTCTGCCCGAAGTAAGAGCTGCCTGGGAGGAGACACTTATACAGTATATCTGCAGAATGACATGTGAAAATGTTCAATCAATAAACTGGCCAGTCTTGATTGACTACATCTGACTGAGACCAGCCACAATATTCAAAGTTATAAAACAGTTTTTATGGGAAGCAGACTTATTTTAAAATAAGATGTAAATTCATGTCTGTTGCTGTCTGCATTCAACATCTTTTAACAACGTCACAGAATTATCATTTCAATTTCTGTGAGTAATATTATTTATTAATGCACTATGATAAGACACTGTATTATACTGTATTTTTCTAACTAAAGTATGTGATGCTTAAAAAGATAGTGGGGAAGGGAACCCACTCTGACACAACAGACAGTATCTAATCTTCCTGCCTTTACTGTAGGAACAGAAACTCCTCAGTGGAAACCTGTTTCATTGGAGGTTTGGCACTCTGATGTGGGGTGACAGTTGTATTTTGTGCCTTCAGAAATGAGTATGGAATGGTACTGTCAGAGTGACAGTAAACCTTTCCAATGTGCCAGTGAACTCTTAAAGAGCAATTACACTGAACTATATCACCTACTCTCCTAGTAGGTTTATTAAATATCTAGAATATTTTCAACTCTCAGTCTTTGAGACTGTCCATTAAGTCTGTCTCTCTCCATGTGTTAGCGTGTGTGTGAGATGCATCAGAATGTCGAGCTGTCTCCTGTGTGTGTCTGTCTAGAGCCATGAGGAGCTCTGCATGATGAAGGAGTTCCTGGATCAGAACAAGGACCTGCTGGTTCAGCTGGGCCCACAGGTAAAGCAGCTGAACTTCATCTTTGAGAAAGTACACCTGCATGACCAGCAGCTCACCGTCCTGACTGAGAAAGTGGACAACCTAGAGAAGAAGAATGATGGTGAGTCAAAGATGAAGGGCCTAAAATTATGTCATATGCACAGGGCCTTCTTCAAATTTTACGACTGAGTGTATTTTTAGAGCTTTTTCTCCCCAGGTTGAAATTGACTCCTATTTTTCTGGAAATACAAATGATAAGAGTTTAAAAATATTATTGTTCTAAGTGACAATGTTTCCTGATAAGACTAGTGCAGCAGTTATTATACATTAGTCACAGAAGTCTCTCTCCTATGAGAGTGTGTCTCATTCCAAAATGAGAACTTGATCTGAATGCATTGTGAGAGTGAAGTTTCCCAGTTCTGCCTGGATAATAAATGATCAATCCTACTGAGTGAGGGGAGGAGAAACTCTATAGAGCTGCAGTCCCAGTATGTGATCTCCTATCACAGCTGAGTAACAGAGTGAGTCTCTTGAATGGTAATAATGGGGTTTTTAATGTAAATGTATTGCTAATTGTTTTTGCTTTGGCAACAGTGGAATTCATGTGTCCTATTAATAAAGGTGGTTGAATCTGAATTTGAGGTCCAGTTGTGCATGACTGAATTTTGAACAACACTCCTAGTTATTTTTGGAAGCTCATTAGAAACTCCACCACCATGGCTCATATTGTCCAAAGTTCATAAGGGTTTGTTTATGAGTCATTAACAAACACTTATGAACTCATTGTTTACTCAAATATTAAGTGCCTTGTTTTTTAAAATTTGTGCAGCGCTTAAATTTGCTTGTACACAGACTATCTTTATGTCCAAATACTATCCATACTGGTGAGCAAACACTTCCGGATCAGTGTGAACATCATTGTTCTTTACCTCAATATCATTCATATTTTTCATTCCTTTGAACTTTTTGGAACATAATTTTTGTGCCCTGATATAAAGTAAATGATGCATCATCAGTCTTTCCAGTTTATTCTGGTCAGTGCTAAACTAAACTGGTTATGAAAGAAATTGACTTTAGCTGTTTTTTAAAAGAAATACAGAGCTCTTCTGGAAAGACTGAAATTGCCCAAAGCTTCTGTTGGAATTGTCAGCCTCCTGCATGACCACACACCTCAGAGCTTGGTAACAGCTTGTCAGCTGCTGTCCCACACAGGTGCTTTCATCTGCACCATTTAAGATAAGATCAGATCACTTTATTGTCCATATACTATTTCTTGCATTAGGAATTTGTCTTTTCACATACCCCAACTTGCTCTCCATGAGACACACAGTTACACAGACGGGGAGAGAGAAGCTTGGGGTCAGAGCGCAGAGTCAGCCATTGATACAGCACCCCTGGAGCAGTTGGGGTTAAGGGCCTTGCTCAGGGGCCCAACAGAGTAGGATTCCCCTGCCAGCCGTGGGATTTGAACTGGCAACTTTCCAGCCACAGGCTCAGATCCTTCGCCACAGAGCCACCACCCCATTTTATGCCTTCTGTTTGGTGACAGCTGTTGAATACTGGACCAAGGCTAATTACTGACACAAAATTGCTGTACCCATGTCTCTGGGGTGTCCTGAACTGGTATTTTTCAACTGTGAATTAGGTTCCTGTTCCTGTTGCTGAACTAGTAAGTGGCTCTCTCCTTTCTGGACTAGAATTTTCAAAATGGTTTTTGCAGGTAGCCCCATCCTTTTGGATCAGGCGTTAAATCCACAACACTGTTGGAAGGAGTAGGGGTGTTATCCTCCATTTCCTAGCTAAATTCCACTCTGAGCTTGTACAATCTGTCCTTCCCCCTTAATTCAATTGGTGAGACACTCCTCCCATTGATCTGCTGCGCAGTTGGTGCAGTGTGTTCATTCAGGTGAGGGATGAAATGGGTCCCTTCTTGTGTGTGAAGTGCTTTGGGATCCTTTGGGATGAACAGCTACATATAAAGGAAGTTTAAAATTATTATTATTGCTGTTATGGGGTGTTGTTATGAGGCTGAAATTCTTTTGCTTTTTGTCTTACAGAGCCTATTTTCAGCGCTGAGGTAGTCAGGTACAAGAACCATCTCCTGGAAATGGCTCAGAAGAATAGGTGGCCCCTCCCTGTGTTCACAGAACATGCCCATGCAAAAGGTACGTACAGCCAGATAGTGCATTAGGAGGATGGTATTTAAGAAACATTCAGATATAAGAAATAATACAGGGCTAAAAAGTGCAGGAAAAGATTAATGTTACAGATTTTTAACATGTCATGGCTTGAAAGATTATTATATGCTTTGGCTGAGAATATAAATTACGAGTTATTCCTGACTGGTTTATTTTTTTCCCTGATCAAACATGAAGTGTAACATATGCTGTTCTGTCATTCCAACGCTTAGTCCAGTACCCTTTCAGTGTTTTGTTAACGGATGGACTTCACAACAGAGCCAAGATTCACTCTGTTACTCAAGGGGTAGCAGGCTCTGGTTAGTGTGGAGCAGCCAGGGAGATGCAGGGCTTTGTGGGAACCATTGCTGACGCACGCTGCTCTTGCCAGGCTACACCGCGATGGTGGAGGTGAATGGGCAGAAATTCGAGGGCAGACAGGTTCATCTCAGTGTGAAGGCGGCGCACCAGGAGGTGGCAATGTTGGCGCTGCGGGAACTGGAAAAGCAGGCACCTTCTCTGGCCTCAGGCGAAGACAGCTCTACACAACCCCCAGGACCTCTGCTGAAGCCCACCGACCAATCAGAAACATCCTCAACTGCAACAGGTGCCTTCCTCTTCAAAGCCTATGCTTTTAAAAAACACAAGAGAGGGACACAAAATTTACATTATATTATACCAGCTAACCAAAAAAGGTATTCAATGTCTTACTTATAGATGTACAAAAACCTTATGTACGTAGATAAACAGTTCATGCCTTGTTTTCTTCAAAGCTGTCTAGCAAATAGTAAAACATTTCTACCCCTACAGCCCCGGTGTTTTTAGGAAGTGTGACTGTCACTCTGAACACAGAGGTTATTGCTCCTGATGAGTACAGTGAGAAGGAAGAGGCAGTTGAAGCAGCTTATGACAAATTAGGCTCCGTGTTTGGCCTGGAAGTCTCTTCTTCAGGTAAATACACATCCTCTGTCTCACCCTTTACTTTTCTGTCCATCTGACATCTGAAGTTGTGGTGATTTTCTTTTGTTCCTGAGAATATTGTGAAATTATACTGTATCTGCCTGAGTAAACTGTGTTTTATGAGGAAACAAAAGAATTATTCTTGAAAAAGAGGACCCGTGAGAAGGCAAATAGAATAGGTGGATTAGAGGGTGAATAAAAATGTTATTTAACCAATAATAAAATTAGATGTTCAAGAGGGAAGCTGCAAGTGTCTAGGCTGCAAAGGAACAAATAAAGTTTAATTCCACGCTGGAAAGTAGAAAGAAGAAACACAATGTTTGAGCACTTGAGCCTTCTTCACAACTGATCCACAACTTCTTCCACAATAAAATCAGGCCTAACATTAGCAAAAATAATGTTGAGAATGTTGATAGTCGTAAAAGTTTTGCTTTATAATTAGGTCTGTTAAGGTGATTTAAATTGTTAGGAAAACTTGTTTAAAATGTAATTGGTTTCTTGTTTGAGTTCTTTTAAACAAGTCTGTATCTGTGGAGTGTGGCGGGGTCTCTCCCAGACAGCAGACTGGGTAGCAGTTTTCATAACTTTAGCTAATCTGTGAACTGACACCTGTTAAGAGTACACAGCACATAAACCTGGAGTTCAGGGACACTGACAGGCAGTGTGTGGTGCAGAATATGGACATTATTGAACTTTTACCATCTCTGAAATGTTACATGTTTTACTCTAAATGAGTTCCATTTTTAAATAGTAGCAACAGGCTAAAGAAGCATAATATTGTTTAAATAAAATACTTTTTTTTTCAGGCAAATCAGCTAAGCAGAAAGTCCAGCAACATTTCTCAGAGTCTGGTTTCACACAGCCAGAGGAGATACTCCAGACAAGCCCTTATGGCAAATTCAGTTGCAAACTGAAAATCTCTGGGCCCTTTACTTTTAAAAGTCATGGTGAGTGAAGTGTGTTGAGGAAAGTACACAGTTTCTGTCCAGAGTGTGGTACTGAATTAAGTTTTATTTTCAAATATACGGTATAGAGGAGTGTGAACAACATAGCCTGCTATTACTGTCACTGTGGTGACTAGTATCAGCGCACATTAAACAGTGGATACTTGAAGGCAGATTTCTTCAAGGAAGAGATGTCCATGCATTCTAGTTTGTGTTGACAAGCTTATTTAAGGAGTGGATTAAAAGGAGTATATAAAAAATGTGTACTTTATTTAGTAAAAATATCTTATCTTTATTGTGGGGGACACAAAAAAACCTTGCTTAGTAGCTAAGTGAAGGCTCTTGTATTCTGTAATCTGTGCTGCTACCTGTTGTACTGGGCTGTGCTGCTACTTGTTGTACTGGGCTGTGCTGTGCTGATACCTGTCGTACTTGGCTGTGATGTGTTAATACCTGCTGTGCTGTGATGCTACCTGTCGTACTGGGCTGTGATGCTACCTGTTGAACTGGGCTGTGCTGTGTTGATACTGTATCTGTCGTACTGGGCTGTGCTGCTACCTGTCGTACTGGGCTGTGTTGTGCTGCTACCTGTCGTACTGGGCTCTGCTGCTACCTGTTGTACTGGGCTGTGCTGTGCTGATACCTGTCGTACTTGGCTGTGATGTGCTGTTACCTGTTGTGCTGGGCTGTGCTGGTACCTGTTGTACTGGGCTGTGCTGTGCTGCTACCTGTCGTGCTGGGTTGTGCTGTGTTGATATCCACTGTACTGGGCTGTGCTGCTCTGATGCCTGTCGATTTGTTTGTATGTTCAGACGGTGTGAGCAAGAAGAAGCTGGTAGAGCAGCAGGCCGCCAGAGTGGCCCTCACCCGTCTGGCTGGGCTCCTCGGCTGGCACGGCGGCCCTGAGGAAAACCACAAGGGCGCACTGAAGGAGCTGCTGGAAAGCAGGCACCTGGGTGAGGCCTCGTATCACGCATCAGCGGAGAGCTGCGGAGGAGCTGATGGAGTAGGATTCGGTAAGCAAGACCCATTACAGCTCCTTGCTTCCGTAGGGGTCATTTTTAGACCTGGGGTGCCCTTTGCTTGCCGGGGAGAGGCTCCGGCTCCCTCGTGACCCTGAATTGATGGTAAGAAAATGGGTGGATGGAAAAGTCTTTACATTTGTTTTCTACCACCAATCTCTTGGCGTTTTTTTTTCCTTATTAGCTGCTCCTGTGATTCTCACAGTTACCCCGCTACAGAACCTGCCGGCCCCCAGCTCACAAGACCCCGATCCACCAGGTCAGAAGCCGGCCCAGGGGCTGGCCCAGGTGACCAACCATGTGACAGCTGAGCCCTCCCAGGAGCTCTCGGTGTCCTCAGGTTGGTGGACGGCCTCTTCAAGGGCTCCTCAGCTCCTCAGCGGGGCTGGTCCAGCTGACTGCAAGCTAGGCATGCCAGCTTTCCCAGGAAGAAGAAATCTGCTACTTTGACTTTGTCGATGTCTGCATATTTTGAGTACTTTTATCGGGCCCCCCTTTACAGTCTTCTCTGTTCAAGACTGAAAAGGTTCAGTTCCTTCAGCCTGTCAGTGTGGGATATTTCCTTTAAGCCCCATAATGCACCTGATGGCTCTTCTCTACAGTGAAGCCAGAGAATTAGTAGGCCAGGCTCATCCTAATCAGAGGTTGACATTGATAGGTGTATTCTTTTTCCCATCTTACAACAGGAGGCCAGCTGTACTTTGCCAGTGTGACTGTGCCTGTGAAGAAAGTGTTCGACCCAGCAGAAACACACAGGAAGAAAAAGGATGCCATTCAGGGAGCCTACAGTATATTGGCATTGTCCTTTGGTCTGACTGACACAGCCTCAGGTACCAGTGGGACTGTTGTGCCTCTAATGTTCTCTATACAGCGACTTGTGATATAAGCAGCTGTGGTCTAGAAATAATTCAAGTTTAACAGAATACCAGGCACAAAGGGGAGCAGACACAAACAGCTCCATATCTGGTTCCATTGCCTTGAGCATAGTGTAGTCGACACTGTGGATATGTTATGCAGCAGGCTGGTATTTACACTATTGGTGCAAAGCGCTGTGCACAGTTAAAACAATTTCATATTTTTTCTGAGAGTCCATGTAATTTAGCTCTACTGTGCACAAAATCTGGAGATTTTGAGTGTCACCAGTCCATTAACTACTAACCTGCTATTGTTCTATTATTAAAACAGGAACTGTTTAAGAATTCAAAAGCAAGCATTCCTTTTATTGGAGTTGCTGTGCTACTTTTATGGAAATCCGAATGAGACCGTTTCTGTGGGCCCATGTTCCTCAGGCCCTGAGCCCACAGACCAGTACCAGTCTCTGGGGCAATGCTGACCAATCCCTGCCCAGACCTTGCAGACAAAGCCAAAGAGGCAGTTATAATGGATGAAGACAATTTACTGCTGTGTTTTTAGTTCCTCACCTCTGGGGACCTTAGGGCAGTGGTACGGAAACACTGTTGTAGGCATTTTGTGAAAAGGAACATGTAAAGGATTATTCCATGCTGAAAAAAAAGAGATTCTGGAATAGACCTTTACTTGGTCCTTTGCAGCCTACACATGCTGACACAGCTCCCTACTAGAACTATTTTGTGAAAAGGTCCTGTTTTTCTGAAAATTCCTTTTTGTCATCTTTAACAACGTGTGTCTACTTTATTTCTTTGATATCTGAGTTCAGTGTCTGGATTTTAAGCATTTGTACACGGCCTTTGGAATTGAATGATTTTATATCTTCCTCTTTTTTAGCTGCCTCTTCCAGCACATCCAAACAGGTAGTCTTGGATTTCTTCGCTAAATCTGGACTAAACCCACCTGTAGAGACGTGTGAGTCTGTGGACAAACTGTTCACATGCAAACTGGAGATCTCTGGAAACTTTGCATTCCAGAGTCAAGGTGGGGAGCATGAACAAAGTTTACAATTTTTTTTAAAAAAATAGGTGGTTTAGGTTCCCTGCCTCACGTTGTCCCATTCAGTGAAGAAAGTTGACAGGTAACATTTTTTTTTTCGGAAAAGAAAATACTGTAAATAAATAAACTGCTGTTCTTTTAAAAAGATAAGAGTATGCAATCTCTGATGTTTACTGCAGACTATTCCCTTACTAGAGTGTGCGATCATTTTTTATCATTTTTAGCAAAAACAACAACAACAAAAAAAACTTGGTACTGAACTGAAGAAGGACTCATATATTTCTGGTGTCAAAATCAGTTTTCTTGTCAGATTCATTAGAATTCAGTGATTAGTGATGTGGTGTGATGTATTGTTTATGAGTTTTTGTTCTCTGTATTGTAGAAGGGGTTTCAAGAAAGCAGCAGGCAGAACAGGGGGCAGCTAAAGAAGCCCTGGCCAGGCTGGCATTGGTCCTGGGGTGGGACCCTGCCTGTGCTGATGGGAACTACAAAGGGAGACTTCAGGAGCTGCTGATAAAGCACGGGCAGGAGAAACCCCTGTACCAGCCTGTTCCTGGACCATGCTGTGACACTGCCTTTCCTCCTGGCACAGGCCACCAAGTCACAGGTATAGAGGCCTCAGTCTCCTATTGACCTCTGTGTTCCTTTAGAACCTCAGACAACACCCCTTTTTAAGCTGTTCATTTGGCTGAAGTGTTCAGGACGTTTGACATAGTCAATTTGGTGACTCAGAAGACATGGGGCAGAGACCAGTACCAATGTCCATTAAAACTGCAACAGAATTAGGACTTAAAGACCTGCCACCTTAAAATGAGTCTATACAGAAGTAAGATGTTTGTGCTTGAGCACCAAGTGCCAAACCAAGCTGACACAACACAGCAGTAACTGTCTCGTTCTCCGGCACATTTCAGAGCTGCTGTTCATCCAGAGGATTGATATACCATGGGTTTGAAATGACACAGCAATACTGGGCAACTTTAGTATGTTTTGTCCTATTTTCATAGGGGCAGGGTTTCATAAGACTGGGTATAAAGAAACAAATTAATAGGCCGTGCTTGAAAGTAAATCTCAGAGGGGTTGTTGCATATGAAAGAAAGCAGAAAACATGCTTAACGTTTTCTTGCTCTTGCTCCAGCCTCAGAGATCAGCAGTGTGAGAGAATCTTCAGCTCAGGCCAGTGCGTCACCCAGTGACTCCGTTGCCATGGTAACACAGCTTGACGAGCTCGATGAGCTGCCTGCTCAAAGCAAAATGCCCAGGATTGAGTCTCCAGGTAAAATAGCCGCCAGTATTTGGTGGAGGCTTTGATTTGGGTGGTTTTCATGCCTTCAGCCTGTCTCCCTCCTGAATAACTAAAATGGCATTTTGTGACATTCAGAGCCCTGTCATGCAGCAATAATCACCTTCGTTGGGGATTTGATTTGTACATAACACAACAAGGGCACAAAATGGAGCATGCACAAACTGAACTTACAGTTTAGCTGTGTGCATCACACAGGGCCTGATTTAGATGCCCTCTCAGAAGGCCGCTATTCTACATTTTGGGACTGGAAGAACTGTTAACAAACTGGACAAATAAATGCTATACTTATGAGTGCTCATTTGAATATGTTGTAGCCTTTATTTTATCATTTTAAACTTGAACCTAATGTCTCCCTAATTTTAAAATCTACAGTGATTCTTGTCCAAAACAACACAGAAGTGAGATGTTTGTGCCTGAGCACCAAGCGTGAAACAAAGAGACGACGGTTCACATGCTGCAATGTTTTGTTATGTATGTGTCTGTGTGGCAGAAATCCAAAGGCTGCTGGAGAAGTGTGGTCTGCAGCCGCCTCAGGTCACCAGCCGTGTGAGCGTGGTGAAGATGTTTGTGTGCAAAGTGACAGTCCATCTCGTCGGCCTTGGCATTCAAACCCAGCAGAGCTGGAGTTCTAAGAAGGAAGCCACGAGAAAATCATACCTTAAACTCTGCCTAGTGCTGGGCCTCCAGGAAGCAGGTGTGTTCACGCTTCTCTTTTCATGGGCCGATGAACATGGTGTTCAGTCATCATGATGGACTCCAATACATGTACCACCACTGGGATTCCCCTCTGCAGGGAAACCAGATTATACTCGGGGAGGCCCAGATGGCAGTTTAGCCAGCACACAGGGATTATAATTATGCGGGTGTGAGCCTGGTCAGTACCTGGATGAGAGACCTCCTGGGAAAAACTATGGTTGCTGCTGGAAGAGGTGTATGGGGACAGTATGGGGACACTATACTGTAAACAGGCGCCGTCCTTTGGATGAGACGTAAAACCGAGGTCCTGACTCTCTGTGGTCATTAAAAATCCCAGGGTGTTTCTCGAAAAGAGTAGGGGTGTAACCCCGGCGTCCTGGCCAAATTTCCCATTGGCCCTTACCAATCATGGCCTCCTAATAATCCCCCTCTATGAATTGGCTACATTACTCTGCTCTCCTCCCCACTAATAGCTGATGTGTGGTGAGCTTTCTGGCGCACTATGGCTGCCGTCGCATCATCCAGGTGGATGCTGCACATTGGTGGTGGTGGAGGGGAGTCCCCATTACCTGTATATAGTGCTTATCTGGACACTCCACTCAAAGCACTTTACAGGTAATGGAGACTCCCCTCCACCACCACCAAAGTACAGCACCCGCCTAAGAAATGTATTTTCTACTTTCACTCTTCAGGCTAACCATGGACATTTGTGAATTTGCATGCAGAGAATGTATTGGAAATTGAAACTGAAAGATTGTTTGGTGCGTTGTATGCAAATTATTAAAATATTAAAGCCATGGGTAGTAGATACGACAGTGGACTCTAGTCCTGTAGGTCACTTTCATCAATAACGGCTTAATACCTACAAAGAATAAGGGTATATCAGTCCTGTTAAGCAACTCACATATTCTGTCAGTAATTAACTACTCAGGAAAGTGTGAAAGCCAGAAGGTTTGGACTGGAATTCCTCCCCATAGAGATTAAGAAGACAGTACGTGTCTTTTTTCTTATTGTTTCACAGAAGAGATCAAAGCGACGATGCTTGTGAAAGAGCATTTCAAGCAGAATTCATATGATCTCCCCACGGAAGAGTTCACTGAAACTGCAGACAAGAAGTTCAATTGCCAGCTGAAAGTTGCTTCCTTTACAGTTTCGTGTGAAGGAAAAGGTGAGCTAGAGTCAGTCTTGTTGGATCAAATTTCCTATCTTCCTGAGCTCAGTGTATATATTTTTAACTTGTTGTCATTGATCATTCCTGAAAAATAATAGCAAACATTGTGAATGGGGTTCATAGTTTGTCAGCTCAACTTTTTGCTCCACTCTCTCAGTCTGCCTTCAAACAATTTGATTCCTGAAGCCTTGTTTAAGGTAAACATCTTCTTTTGTTATAAGAACAGCTAACTTTGTAACCATCTTGTACGTTAGATGAGTGTCATTGGAGTGGCTTCAAACTGAAGACTAGGTTAGTCAGGTCTTTATGATTCACGAGTGGATTTTGTATACGATAATAAGATATGTTTGTCTTTCAGGGTCTTCTGAAGACCTAGCCAAAGCCGAGGCCTCCAGGTTCACTCTCTCCCAGCTCACCCACATTTTTGACTGGGGCCTGGCGGCCAAGGTGCCAAACGGTGAAGACTCAGTGGGCAGGCTCACCACGTTGCTACAGGAGACCCAGCAGAGTCCTCCCACTTTTCAGCTCATTGACACCCTACACAAGGCCACTGCTCAGCTGAACTTCAACAACTTCTCCCTGGAGAGCAGTGGCCATCGGCTTGGCTCCAAGAAACTAACACAGAAAGAAGTCAGCACTCGGCTCCTCGGGCTGCTGGGAGAGATGTGGGAGGAAGGTCAGTGTCTCCTCATTACTCTGGACCTTTCAATGCAGGAAAGCAGAAGAAGTCCTTGGTGATCGATAATTGATGACATGGTGGAGTGGTGGTTGGCCCTGCTGCCTCACCTGCCTGGGGACCTGGCCTGGGGTACCTTCTGTGTGGAGTTTGCATGTTCTCCCTGTGGTTACATGTGCTCTGCTTGTCCAAAAAGACATTTCTTGGTTAAGTGGAGTCTTTAAATTGTCCCCTGTGTGTTTGTGCCGAGATAAATAAGTTACTGTCCAGAGAGTATCCTGCCTTGCACCTGTTGGGTTAATCTCTGAGTCACTGTAATCCTGTATTGGACTAACTTTATAGGGTTATTGAACATGAATGGAAGGCTGATGTAACATGTCAACAACTTAAGATGATAAAGCCCCAACTACATTTTCAAACTTCATCTTCATACAGCCCATGTGGTGTTCATGTTAAAATGTTCCCTAGCTGCTTGAGCCTTATTTACATTAAGGAGTTTTAACTTCAAGTCGGTCACAAACAAAATTTTGTCATTTTAAATCTAGGGAAACTGAAAAGAAAATCCTGGTATTTTAAAGGATCTTAAATTGTACCTTAAAAATTAAGTTTTTCATCACAATACTGCTTAGTGAAACACTCTTTGTAGTCCTAATTCAAAACGTTGTCCTTGTGTGTGACTGTTTGGTGATTCCAAGTTTTGGGTTAACTTTTAAGATGCAAGCAACAGCACCCCAGCGAGGAACCGGGTGCAGGAGTGGTTTGATAAGAAAGGCTGGAAGTCGCTCAAGTTCGAGGACACAGCAGAAAAACATGGTGTGAAGGTCACCTTCTCGGCCAGATTTGACTGCTCCCACCAAGGTAATTGCCCACAAGTCTTCAGGGCTAGCTGCCTTGGCTCAGCTCTGGACCCCCAGAACTAGCGCTTGGATGAAACACAAAGAACTAAGCGTTATCATTAAAACAGACAAAAATGGCAAAAGAAGTGTTATGATCTTGGGAAGTTGCCCGATTTTAAAGAAACAAAACACTACCAGCTACGAGTCTGAGAGGGGGGCCTATGGTGACAAAGCTGCCCGTTTCCTTTGCAGATTGGGAGCCCAGCTGGGAGTGTGCCCAGGAGAAGCTGGGTGAGGAGCTGCAGGCTCGATTCAAGTACTTGTTTGAAGACAGTGCTGATCAGGTGATTTCCGCATAGAAAGACACCAAAAAAAAAAGGCCCAGGCCCTCACATTGGTGTTAGTGTTTACTTGTAGGGTAATGCTTGTTGTACAGTATCCTTGTATGAACTACCTTTACCATCCACTAGGCTGGAAGGTAAAACTTTATATGAAAAATACCAATTCTGCTATTTGTTATGCCCTTAACGTAAGGGGTTAACCTTTTCAACAATGTTGCTGACCTTCAAAATGTAATACACCAGAAGTGTAATCTGCATTGATTTTAAAAAGTCGGCTCTCAGAAGTGTTACATTTTTTTGTCCCTCAACCCGTTTTATTTTCAGATCTAAGCTGTGTTCTTTAAGCAGCAGCCTGTGCACACTGATGCCCAGATTAGCCAAGGAAGAGCTTACTTTACGCAGGGATTGGCTTTGGAGCAGGCTGGTGCTGTGAAATCTACCAAAACATTTTTAACCTGGGGCTCGAGCTCATGGAATAACCTTCATACTGGATACCTTGCTGAGGAGGCCTGGGATGAAGGTCGAGGGATGGAAAATAACCCCACACAAACTCATGGCTGGAGACAGTTACACTGTTGATGAACTGCCTTGAACAGTTTTTCTTCCTCTTGACTTCAAGGAAATTGACTAAATTTAAAACGACACTTTTTAGGCTGCTGTACACAATGACACGGTTGTCATCTCAATAACGCTTATAAAGCAATGTGCAAAGGAAATTATTTTTAAATGTAATTTCTTTGGACTTGATTTATTAACAACGTGTTGCAAATTGATATTTGATGTTTGTAATGGAAGATGGTATCACCTTGGGATAATATTGAGAACATTGTTTCTCATTTTATTTTTTGTAATTGGCAATTAGATGATGGTAAGTTAAACTCTGCATAATGGATTATTTTATATTATCTATGTCTTAGACTATCTTAATATGTCTTTATCCTGTAATATTGGCAGATTGTGATTAAAAATCCCAGGTACTCTTACCTTTTGAAATACACATGCTAGATCAGTAATGGTGTGGAAAAATGTAACATTGTGAAATAGAGAAAATATAATTGCAGCAATATTTAACCAAATATCTATTTAAAATGACTTAATTGAGCTAATACTCATTGTATTGTCTTAATTTTAAATGAATAACCCAAAAGTTGCATTGCATACCAATCTCTTAACTGTTTATATTAAAAAATGTTCATAGAACATTTTCCGTTGTAAGTGTAATGTTGTTTTCCAACTAGCTTTCCAAAAGAATGAAAAAATAATCTTCATTTTGTACGGAGAATACTACACAGATATATCCATGTTTTCACAGACCAAGGTTAGCTATACTCTCCGTTTCCCTGGGTATTATTGCTTAGATCAGCATACATGATGCTGATCGGGGTTTGTGAAACGACAGGATAGTTTGTAAATGTAAGAGCTTAGTAGGAACTATTTTAAAATTTATATCCCGAAGGATATAAACCTATTAAACCCGGACGTTATACACTCAATCATTTACTGTGTAACTATAACCCAGCTCACAGTCATCTATTATCATATATCCATTCGGGTGTAACATAAAATCATTCCCGGAAGAAAATAGTCTCGTTAAGAAACTGTCCTACCCTGATATTAAAATACGTTCTTAATATTAGAGGTAATAGGTTTGAACTTTTAAAAGAGATACACTTTTCCAGATTTTGTATCAGAGGATGGAACAATATAGATAATATACATCGAAAGAGTCGTACATGCTCTCCTCTCACCCATGCCATGTTTTTGTTAAATTTTATTTTGCTTAAGTGTAACACGAAATGGCTCCGGGTATGTGTTGCAGCCAGCCGGCTGTTTTCGGGATGGCTGCTGTAAGCAGCACGGAGCCGCTATGCCAACCTTGTATTTATGATGCTAAATTCAAAGGTGAGTCACGTATTACCGTTAAAGAAACAAGCTACGTTACGCAGAAAACAGCAGTACTTATCAATGCATAATTTGCATTTCGAATTTATTTTTGAAGAGAAAAATATCATACAAATCTTTATCATTCAATGTGATATAAACTATATGAAATTTGTGAAAAGCTTTTCTGAAAATGGGGATTCTTTATTTTGTTTTTTTTAATTAAGTAGTATTCGGGTAACAAAATCATCTTAAAATTTACCGTTAAAAAATCTTTCGTTTTCCTTGCTGCCAGTAGATGGCAATGGGCGTGTTAAATACATTGTCTGAGTATCCGCAGCACCGTCGCGGTGCCAGACGCTGTAGTACTGATTTTCGTATTAACTCACAGTAAATCTAGACAGCGCTTTCACAGCCGGGTTATAATTTGGTGAGGCTGCTGCAAAAGTTTATGAATAGCGTATTACTGAAATGTTTTCCTGTGTTACAGTGGAGGTGAATGTTGAGAAACCCCTGCAGCCCATTCACCTGAGTTGTGAGCAGGTGGCATTGGAGATGATGAGTCTGTGCTGCCAGCTGGACCTCCTCATCAGAGCCCAGGTTCAACAGGTGAGGTGTTAAGACTCTGCAGTGTCCACAGCTCCTGTCGGTCCTCATCATTATGGTTCACCTTTATGGATGCGTCAGACAAAATATTTATTTGCTTAAACCTAGATGTGACCGTAAAACAAGTCATACCTTTAATAAGAACCCTAATCAAACCTACCTGTGATTTAAGTATGAAAATGTTCAGACATCAAGCCCCAATGCCATCCAATATTATCCTTCCTCTGGACTGAAGAAGGATAATATTGGTTTAAAGTTAAATCCAAACCAAGCTAATTAACAACTCAGATTGGATATACCTTAGAATGACAAAATCTTGTCATGTAAAATCCTGGATGTTGGACAATCATATAAATTCAGTGTTTTTTTTAGACCAACAGACCAAAACTGCCTAGTAGCTTCACAGATCCTGATTATCACTAACCTTTTTCTGTCTAGTGTTTTTTCAGTTAAAAAGGTGTAGATAATCTTAAAAGGTGAAATGAGTCAACCTTCATATTTGTACTAAAATCAAAGATAATAACAATTTACAGTCACCTGTACACTCCTTGAATACACAATTATATATCTTATTGAGATAAATCACAGTTCTACTACATTAGGCTTTCCATACAGATATGAAAAAACAGTTAAGGGTTGTAGTGTGGAGCAGAAAATTGTTTTTGTACTCTTGAGCAAAGTACTTTGGATAGACATTTCCTGTAAAAAATGTGTCATCACTGTAAATTGTAACTGTTACTTGGTTTAATTACACAGGAAAGGAAAACTTTAAATTAAAAAATGGCTATAGATTTTTCTTTCACTTTCAGAAGTGATCTATTGTGTAATTTCGATTACACTGAAGAACGAGTTTTATTTGCAGCGTGCTTTAGAGAGATTGTTACTTATTTTCTGTCATTTACTGTATCATGACTTTGCACCAACATTTGCTTTTACCTCAAGGAGTTTGAGGCACTGGATTTTGTCTTTGTAAGGATGAAGAGAAAAAATGTTTTGTTACTGTTCTGATGGCAGTTTTGCATTTGATACTGGACTGGAAATGTAATACACTCTTTCTTTGTGCTAAGTAGAAGAAAGGTTTCTCCCCTTACTTACTTTACTCAATGCTGCTATTCTCCACAGTTCCAGGAGCAACTCGGACAAGATATTAGTCCAGTTGAATCAGAATCTTTCCACAGACGAGGTGAGCTTATCCATGGGGCATTATTCACCTTTCTGGTTTATGGTGTGGTGTTAAGAGCATGGAGTCACTATGTTTTACGGTGATGAATATGAATAATGAAATATGATGTGATGGCGAGAGCTAATTAAGATTTATTCCCAGTAATCACCCCTTCCTATCTAAATTTGTTCCTTGTAAGGTACATATATACACTCATGATTAATAATGATTAACCTTATCAGGATGAAAAATCTGTGGCTGCTGTCTTGGGTTTTAATATACACGAAGTGGAATTAGAAGTCTGTTTAGACAGTCTAGCTTTCCAGGGCTGTGAAACCGCCAGAACTAATTAATATTCACATTTGCATAGTCCATAGTGACAGTTTAATCTTAAAAGACACCATGACACTTTCAGGGTCATGGTGTCTTTTAATAGTAATCCATTTGTACTTACCTGTATGTCTTTCTCCTTATCTATCTTAGGCAATGGTTGTGGGTTGTTGTAATGTTCCTTTTCCCAATAATACAGGCACCAAGATAATAGAACAAATGAAACAAATTCTGGAGCATCTGCCCAAACCTGTTCCACAGCTAGAGGTAACAACTGTTTTTATTTTTTTATCTATAAATTGTTAAAAACCATATATACATTTTATATATTAAACTTCTTAATGATGAAAGTACACTTCTAGTACACCCTAAACTGATGATGTAGTTGCTTGTGTCATGTGCCAATGGCCATAAACAAGAATCAAAAACATCTGGCCTAAATTGAATTATCTGCTGTGTTTTTTTTACACTTTTCTAAGGTCTCATCAAGTTTCTTTCTAGTGTTTCTCAGCACATTCTTTGTACAGTTTCAAACTGTAACTGCTAGTGGATTCAGATGTGCAGCACGCAGGACTAAAAGCACTTTTGGAAAACATCTTCGTTTGATGGATGTCATCTGAACAAAATGGTGGTTTATGCTTAATGCAGTTTAAGAAGGCAAGTTTCTTTATTAAAGGACAATGACTTGTTGTGCTCTTCACCAGGATTACCTAGATGCAGTGGGACTGTCTACAATGTTCCCTCGAGTTGAGATCTTCATCATACACGGGAGTCCTGTTGACATGCTGGAGAATCCTCCCATGGACGGTAAGAGCTGTATGCTGTAATTATCCACTACAACACATCACATACGTGGTATTTCGGTAAACATGAGGTAATTCGTCATCTCGCCAAATTAAGGAAGTAACAAAGAATAAAAACTGACTTTTTGAATATGGACAGTTTTGTTAACCAGAACTTTGTATTTGATGCTACAGCTATGCCTGCCAGAAAGATGAACACCAATTGAATTTTTTAGTAAGCATTTACTTTTTCAGTCTTTCACTACATTTCAATCAGCAGAATTATTCTTGTATCAGAACACCATGTTATTTCCCTCAAATATATTGATGCTCTTAAAATGTCTCTTCTGTTTTTCCTCTACGCCCAGTCCTTGTTTACTGTAAAAGTTTATTCAATAACAGATTAAGAATAGAAAACAATTTAACTAGCTAACTTTCAAGAGCGACACCTCCTCACATATCTCTTCTTCGGCACTTTGTAGTAAGACTTCATGCGATGCCCAAATGGATAGAGTTAAAAAGAGTGTTTGCCTTGTTGTAATTTATTTGACAAATAATCAACAACTTATAAATCCATTGTTTCTGTTGCACTTTCACTTAATGTAAAACTTTGAAAATCATCTTGAATAAAGGCTTATGCGCAACAACAATAATAATGCTCTCCAGCACTGTTAGTTTTGCTATCTCCATAATGCAAGGTCTTATTTTTTGTTTCATTTAACAGTAAAGTTTCTGCAGCTGAACACCCCTACACACCCTGGCAGTAAAAAAGGTGACCGAACACTAAGGATATCTGAACATTCTTTTCAATATGGCAAGGCTTGTATCTACAGGTGAACAGGAATTGAGAGGGCTGGAGGATGAATTACATGCTGTTTTATTATTGCAGACTATTTTCCTCACCTTGGGAAGATGAACCAATTACTTGTCCTGAGCCAGCAGTTAGAAGATGATGTGAAACACCTGGGCAGCCACAAATACATAGCACACCAGCTGTCTGTTTTATATGTGAGTGTGCTTAGTTCATACCTCTTTGCTTCTTTCTGTTACTATTACAAATGTAAAAATGGATCTGTGATGCAGTTCATTTACAGCAATCCTTTATAATCATTTTGTGGAGTAAAATGATTTGAGCAAGGCCTTTAAAAGTTAAAATCACAACCACAACTATATTGGGGCAGAATTTCTTTTTATTTTGTGCTGAACTTATTAGGGTTGATAATAGCTACTTACACCCTATAAATAGCTCTGTATTATTATTACACGTGTTTAACCTCCTTAATCATTAATATTACTGTTTAATGTCTTTGCATTTTAATTTGGAGGGTTGAACTTTTCCATTTCTTTTGTTGAATTTTACACTAAACTCTTAAACATAACTTCTACAGGTGGGTGGCTGAAAGCAAACCAATTAAGGCTTCATAACTTACCATATTTTCTACTATTTCACTTGATAAATACAATTGATTGTTTTTTTTGACCAGCTAGAATCACCATTTGTTGGCAACTGTGATATTCAAAATCATTAAAAATTAACGCTAGTTGATACTGTCACGAAGCGTCTTTCAGGACCCTATGCAGACAGAACAATCAGGAAGGGAGTGAGAAAACACGGGGAAAAAGACTAGGATAGGGGCTGGAAGAAGAACAGGGGGCGTGTCCAAGGTGCGCTGGTGTTTGGGGGGGGTCCAGGGCAAACAAGTCCAAGGGACTCCGTAAAATAATCCAGGGAAAGCCAATGTCCACAGCTGGGTGATCCATCCTGACACAGACAATGTAGTTAAAAGCCAGAGCGGGTCCGGTGAAGGGTTGAGGGAATAAAAGGGGGTAACGGGACCAGACACTCCAGTCCCAGACCCAGAAGGTCAGGACTCCGTTGTGAAGCCTCTGCTGTCGGGTCACTCCTGGACTCGCGTGTAGGCGGGCTTCCAGGCGTTCATCTTCCAAAGCTCAGCCCAGATTGGCAGGAACGTCTGGCTTTTATAGCAGTGGGGGCTGGAATCGAAGGCAGGTGCAGGAGATAACGAATAAAACAAGGAAGGGCTGAAGCGTCCTTAAGAGGAGGGGTTTACGATCGTGACAGATACGCAATCCAAATACACAGAAAATGGACAAAAGCACTGGTTCTTGTTGGTTCTTCCAAGATTGCTTATTTTCATTAACGCTGGTAATTGCTAGGTCTATAAAATTACCTAATTTTATCAAATTGGAATTTTTTTGGCCACTTACAACCTGTCTGTTGTCTTTAACTTGTTACAGCAAGTTATCAGCTCTTTCAAAGGCATCACGCCACTATCCATTCTCAAGAGGGACATTGAAGCCAATTTCAAATCATTGAAACTGTCACTGGCCACAGAGCAGGAATCCAAGCAAGAGCCCCAGTTGCCTGCACATTACGTCAGCTGGTAAGACCATAGATGCAGTCCTCTCCTTTGTAGGGGAGGTGACTAACCTACCACATCTCTTCTTTATTTTAATGACCATATTTAGTGAGCAGTGACAAAGCAGTTTGGCACCTCAGACAGAAGCACGTTCTTTGCTCTGTTAGTGAACCACTGAGAAGTTGGTGTTGGCACCACCGAGGCATAACTACAGACTCAACTGTTGCAGGCAGAAGGTCCTATTTCTGGAATTTTGTACCACAGCTGCTTCAGGATCCTATTACCCTGTGTAATATCAATTAAAATATGTTTCGGGGCTCCCAGGTGTCTCACCCTGAAAAAGCGCTCTGGTGGGTATGTCCATAAATCAATTGTATTTCTATAGCACAAAAAATGAAGGACCAACTTTCTTTCCTACAGCGAGGCTAAGCAATTACCTATTTCAGTTTGCCTTATACGTAATGTTGCAAGATGTGTACTTGAACTGCTCTGCACATTCTGGGCAGGTAGGCATCTGGGTGATCACCAGCATATAGCACCTTCACAGTGAATAGGAAGCAGTAATGTACACCAGTATATGGTGAGCATACTGGTGCACTTTGGCTGCCATTGCATCATCCAGGTATTGTACACTGTGATGATTTTTGGAGGGGAACATAAAAAACGTTACAAATGAGAGGAGGCTGTTTGGCCCATGTGGACAGTTCAGTAAATAGTAGTCAATAGATCCAAGGATCACATCCAGCCATTTCTCTAGCTGGTCCACACTGCCACATGTTGAATTGGTGCAATTATTATTATTATTATTATTATTATTATTATTATTATTATTATTATTATTATTATTATTATTATTAAAATGTTCTCAATTGCAATGGACCCAAAATAAAATCTGATGCCCTCTAGAGGTTACTAAGTACAACTCTGGCTTTGGACTGTGCAATCTTTTATAACTCTTGTTGTCGACAGTTATATTGCTCAGGTCTAAACGCTGGTTTGTGTCTTCGCAGGATATTGAATCTGACCCAGAGCCTTATATCGTTAGTGTCGTCTCTCCCCGAGAAGCTGACGGAAGACCTGGGTCCAGCGATGTCCTTTGTCGCCAGCCTCACATGACCCCTGCCCGCTCAGCTCCTGCTGCAGGGGCTGGGTCACCTAGCCCTCCCGGGCCATGAAGTGGGGTCAGCAGTGACCGAGATACCGTCACAGCTGCAATCCACCCACCAGCTCCAATTACAAACCCAGTTCTTCATGGTGGCGTTCTGCTTGCGTCGATTAAAGAGCTAGAAATCTGCAGCTAGTGGGTAGATTGAAGAGTTGGCTTAACACAAGTCATTCAGTAAATTACAGTAGCGTACTGTAGTATATGAGTATAGTATAGATAGAACAGTATGTAATTTCAGGGTCTAAGTTAAATTCTTATAAATAAGATAATTATTTTAAGATTAGGTTTAATATTGTAGTATGCATGTGAGGTGCAACTTTGGACATATCTCAGGTTAGGGATCGTTTCGGGACCATGGTGCCAGAGTAAGTTGGTATTGACTTAACTGCTCCAGACTATTATTCCAATGAACAAATGCAGTTTTCCAGTTACTGTACATTGTTTTCAAAACTGATTGCAATTTTACTTGATTTGTTTCCTTCTTCCTTGTATTATGGTTATGAAAATGTCGAAAAGGTTATGAAAATGGGTAACATAAGAACACAACTCCTGATGCTGCTGTCAGATTGTGGTTAACATTAGATCATAATGAAGGCTACAAACAAGATGAGGCAGTTTGGTCCATCTGGCCTGTTGAGTAGATGGTAGTTAATAGATCTTACGGTCACATCCAGCCAGAGAACTCTAAAGGAAGCCAAGGTACTGGCTTCAGCCACATGGCTGGGTAGCTGGTCCATACTGGCACATGTGGAGTTGATGCAATGAAGCAGTGTTTATTATTATTATTATTATTTTAACTGCAGTGTCATTGTCACCTAAAGCAAAGATTCAGTATTATGAACTGCTGTGTTATAGTGCAGTTCAACTACAGCATATGTATAGACAAACCTACAGTAAAAGTTAAAAAAGCAGATAAATAGACAAAATTATACTGCAGTAAACGGATGCAGTCCAGAGCCCTAACCATGTAACCTAACCATACTGCTGCCTTCTGAGGTTTTAGTGACCTTCTGATCTGTTATTGCAGATCTCTTTCTATACTGTTTGTTAGAAATATTCATTTTTGTTTTTTGTTTTCCAGGTGGCAGCTATTTTTTTTTAAATCCAGTTTAATGTTCATCGATTCTGTATAGGCCCTTATCACATCCATAATACATCTTGATTAAACGGAAAGCATTTCAAAAGTGGTTCAAGTACCATTACACATAATGGTGAAAGGTTGTGTGTACATTTTCTAAAGCATTGAGGGATGTGGTACCAACACTGATTAGAATGTTGTTTATCAGAAAGTAATTGTTATGTGACTGTACTGTATCTCTTTTAATAAAGCTATACTGTTTGAATTTGTCAGGCCTCCTTCCCTGTTAAAAGACAAGTAGACTCCAAATGGTCTATTTTACACGTAAGAAAAAGGACATTTGCACAGGTTCCACATCTGGATTCATTATAAATCCATACGTGCGTTTCGGAAATACAGACGTTGGAAGCATGATGCTGGTTTGAACATTTTATAAGCATTTTATGATATTGTGTCAGTATTGACTTTCTATGATATATGACAGAAGATACGACCGTCTGAAATGAAATGGAATTTGTGATCGTAGCAAAAGGTAGATCACAACAGAGCTCGTGTCTTATTCCTAGGTTTTGAACCATTTTGTATTTGTCAGAAGTCGTAAAATGTTTATATACAGTACATCTATGACATGGGTGTGATGTACTGCTTGTATGATGTACTACTTGTAAGAGCATTCCAGAACGACAGCAGCAATACAAATAACGAAAAAAAAAAACAAGAACAACTGTGCCGTTCTTAATGGTTTAATAAAAATATTGTCCCTCAAGCAGATTAACTGGATTACAAATCGTGTAAACTATCACAGAACAATTTCCTGAACTGCACTAAAAATCCCCGTACCGTCACAACACCATTCCCATTATAATAACTAAAGCCTTCCAACTCATCAATTTCATACACACTTTGTGACGTCACGTTGGTCATAGCGATGGAGTTAGGGTTCCTGGATGCTTTTTAACGTTATTATCCCCCCTTATTCATTTCATGAAAACATCGCGCTGTTAACTGTGTACATAATGAAGATTCATAGTTGTTACAAAATATACTCCTCGGAGAGTATGTTTGATGTCTGATTTGGGCTGCCTGTTTTTTCACATTGTGCTGTTGTGCAAGGAAGTACGAATTTAGAGATGGTCCCTTAATGGGGAAAAAACCACATGTAACTCCCAAGATTCCGAGGTCATGACAATGTAAATAAGCGACAAGGAAGGAAGAGTTATGTGGGTTGTTCGTTTTTATACAAATACGCGGTTCCTCCTCAGTGTGTCGGTCTTGCAGACGGCACAACGCACCATTTCTTCGGGGTCCCACCTCCTGCATTTTTGACAGCTTTGTTTTTACGAGGTAATGCCGCTGGATGGCGCGCTGACGTTACCCAGGAATTTGGCATCTTGGGCCCCAATGCAACAAGGCTTTTTCTTCTCTTGATCTGTTTCCAGCAAGAGCGATTTCTAGGTAAGATACGAGGGGGAGGCGAGAGTCAATAGAAACCGCAGGGCGTCGCACTGTGAACGGATTCGCTACAACCTGCACGAAAGGGATAAACCAGATTAGTGCCTCTTATAGCAAAAGACTAAAACAGAAATGGTAAATGTGCTCAGGGTTCACAATCTCAAGCTCTGGGCCGAAAGAGTCAAGTTCAGTTTGTTTTGGAAGGAAGCTGGGGGGGTGACGGCGAGCAGGAGATGAGAACCCAGAATGACAGGCAGAATCACCAATCACATCCTCGGCAATGACTTGACTGACAACTGGGTGGCGAATGACGGCTCACCGTGGGCGGTGCTGGTACCGGTTACCATTGCACCGATTTTTCCTCTCCCCAGGTAGTGTTGTGCTGTTCGTGCTTAGCTGCGGGATTTTTAAAAGAATTGCATATGCTGCAAATGTAACATTGCGTCAACAGCTGCATTTTGCAAACTCGAAACGGTCTTGCGTTCTTTTTTGTTGCTGTTTCTCATCGAGTTCAGTCTAGGGTTCAGTTTGCGTTTACCCCGACGTTAAATTACAGCCGCACAGAGCTGAGAAAACGGTGCCATACCATGCCACTCGAGATATTGCTTACAGTTCGCTGTCATATTAGAGCAAAAACAAGCTATTCATCGAGTATTGATAACGTTGAATGAAGTAGTCATAAAGTATAACTGCAAAACCCATTTGCTCAATTTATGAGAATATATTCCAAGGTTAAGATTTTGTATGAATTATTATACGGATTTGTTAAATATGAAACGAAATCAAAATCAAACAGGCAACCAAATAAATGCAATTGTTTTTATTTTTCTCATTTCCTTGTCCTTTGTTTCTCAACTGAATATATCTTCTCGGGTACTTTTCACCAAATGCTCAGCCTCACTCTTTAGTCAAGATGGGCCAATTGAAACGTACTGTACGCAGAGCATCGTGCTAACTACGTGATCTTGAGGTTAGCATGCAGTTCCGCACGCTAGATTAATACATTGCAACAAACGTGGCTGCAGATATTAGTCTCCAGTTCCTTCATACAGCCAGTAGCTATATCACCCTCCAACTCACAACTGGCAACCCACTGTAGCTGAACAGGTGTGAGCCTGGGCAGAACCTTGCATAGGTGTTAGTGGGGCCAGCAGGGGGCGCTCACCCTGCGGTCTGGGTCGGTCCTAATGCCCCCAGTATAGTGGCGGGGACACTGTACTGTAAAAGACTCAAACCGAGGTCATGACTATCTGTGATTATTAAAAAGGACCGACATTTCTCGAAAAGAGTAGGGTTATTACCCCGATGTCCTGGCCAAATCTCGCAATCATGGTAATAATTGGTAATCCTCCTAATAATCCCCATCTATCAATTGGCTTCATTGTTCTGCTGTCCAGTGATAGCTGGTGTACGGTGAGCGTGCGGGAGCAATTCGGCCAGTGGAGGGGAGGGCGTATTATTATTATTATTATTTTAAGTCTTCTCAGTATCAACGAACCTCCAAAATAAAACCCGAAGCCCTCAAACGGTACAAAAGTAGGGGACTAAGTTCTTGCTGTAGACTTAACAATTTAAAATGCAATACCGTTACTGAGGGGAACACCGAATCACATGAGAAAGATCCTAATAGTAGCAACAGTAATAGTAGTATCAGTTTGTTACTGAAATAACATAATTAAAACGTAATGATTTTAAGATTTCATCGCTGTAAAATGCTAGTTACGTGACTTCATCTGCAGTATTTTATCTGCATAGATATTAAAAATAAAATTAATTTATAATGAGCATCCAACTACAAAAATAGTAATGTATATATATGTTGGCCCACATATTAGTTCAAGTGGGTAGCTGCGTCAGCATGGAACAAGTAAAGGTTTATTCTTAAGCCTTCTGAAGGCTCCACAGCTGAAACGTTGTTTCTTTTCCAGCACGGAATAAACCTTTACTTGTTGTATTTTTTGCCACATATAAGTTTACTGGTACTCATAATTAAAATATTCGGAATCAGTTCCTGCTTGGTAGAAAAGCAGCTTAATCCTTTGTATTGTGCTAAGAATGGGATCAATTCGTCATCAGCTTTGTTCCACAGGTTTTTTTCCTGTAATTAAGGAGGCAGCTGTTGGGTGATCCCGAGACTGTGTTGTACTAGCTAGTACTTAACATAGTGCAGTAAGTCAGCAAGTTCTTTCTGTTTCGGCGCTAGTCACAATTATGTGACTGGTATCAATAATTCAAGCTAAAATCAAGCCCCTTCTCCTCTCCAGGACAGTGTTGAGTTAGAGGTTTTCTTACCTTTCACGGAAAAAAAGAACGCAGGATAGCCAAGATAGAATAAGTCCCAGCTGTGATGTTAGCGCTTTGAAGATGGACTTGGGCTGGGTCGCTGCCTTTGTGTTTGGGAATCGGGTGGCGCGTTGTTAGGTTGCTAGAGGAACACCTCATTCTCCATTCGAGGATTTCCCTCTGGGGCCTCGACAGGGGGCAATTAGTGAACAACACCTGAGAAACCTGCTTCTCCACCACCAACTGCTGGCATGGAAACCCCACTTGTTCATGAAGCCGAATTGTCTTTAACTCTCAAGCTTCAGTTTTAGTGCCCCATTGGCAAGTGTTTGGAAAATTCAGCATTACTCACAGCATTACCTTTTATTTTGTATTCATGGTTACTTTTATTTGAATTAATTTATAGAAGAGGATATTTTATTGAAGGAGTCTGAGTGAAATACTTTGCACAAAGGTACAGCATCAGTGCCTGGCCTGGGATTCGAATCTCCCAACCTTCCACTTACAAGTCTAACCACTGCTACCCCCTGCTGTAGTGTCTTACCCTTTGTTACTCTAAGTTTTAGTTTACTTAGTGGTCACTTAGAAGTGCTTTGGAATGAAATTAAAGAGCCCTGCTTAATTAAAATGAGTTAGCCAAAACACATTAAACGAGAAGAGGCTAGCAGCCCAATTAGCTTGTTGAAGTGCTGGTGGCGAATTAATTAGAACATTTCATCCAGCATTTCCTTGAAAAAAGCCAGGATATAGGATACATTTGAAAACATGGCAGGTTGGCATGTTCCAGTTCCCACAACACTTGGTCCACAAATGTTAAAAATCTCAGATTTAAATTCATGACTAATAGTTGTGTATTCTGTTTCACTTTTCACTGTTGATTTTATTTGGGTTGGGTTGGGTTATTTTTGTCATCAGTGGAATTTGTAGCAATACTTCTGCTGAAGTGCCTGTGTCAGACTTGCGAGGTAACTTACAGGTGTGCTTGTATTTGACGTTGTGTCACATAGACGGTATGGTAGGGCAGAGTTGCTGTACCAAAGGCAACGTATTTAGACAATTACCCGTTAGTAGGTAACATGAACACTTTTGCTTCCAGTGTGCTGATCTGTTTTTTTTTTTAAGATTTTGCTCTGCTGGATGGTGATTCTGAAATATAACCCTGCACATGATCATGGCCTCCATCTGAACATGTAAGAGATGATAGCAGAGCCAACATTATCTACCAGATCGTCCCTGCAAAAGTAAGACTCTGGACTTCACAGAGCCCCAAGTACAGGGCTCCTAAATGTGGTAAACGACCAGTTCTTTTGCAGCCTGAGGACATAAAGCATATTGCCCACCGGACTTTGTGAAAGGGAGTTTTGTTTTATGTGCCTTGTTTCCTCAAGATTGCAATTCCAATGTTAAAAGTAATGGATTTTGATACTTAGACATCTAGAGCTAATGTTGTTACCATCACTCAGTTTCACCTAGTCTTGTCTACTGTTCCTGCTTTACCTACCCTATGTTGCCACAGACCCTTTACTGTGTCCTAGTGTTCAGAGCTCATCAGGCTTAGCCTGCTCAAAGTTAACAAAATTATGACATGAAAGTAGAGTATTGAAACCCTTTGCACAGATATAAATAACATTGGATATCAAGGATCTCAGATGAAATCACAGATCTATTTGAAATTCTAGACAGGATTCCCCTTCACCAGCCCTAGAGTGGAGTGATTAATAGAGGTCAATGTACTGTACTGTATGTATGTGTGCTTGTAGTGGAAGATGCCTGCATCTATGGGTGTTTTTCTTCACAATTTTCAGAGAGAATTCTATTGCTGACGTCACCTCTGGCTCTGCAGCTCACACCCCTAATGCCGTGAAAAATGAGAACAGACAGAAGACAGTGGTTCGTATTCGTCACATGAAAAAATCTTTGGTGCTATATATACCGATGGAAAAAAGAAATACAACACCTCCTCCTCCACACTCTGGCCCTCCCGTCTGCGTGGAACAGGCTGAAGAGTGACTCATCCGTGAAGAGGACCTGATGCCACTGCTGACGAGTCCATCACAACCTCTGTCTGGCCCAAGACAGTCGGTTGTGATGTCTAGTAGTTGTGAGCAGAGGGCCTCTGACAGGCCGCCTTGCTCTAAGGCCAGCAGTATGGGGCCTCACTGTCCTGTCACTGATGCGAGCATTGTGTCTGCCGGCAGTTTCAGCAGCAGTACAGGTGGAAGATCTGAAACGATCTCTCGGATGGACCAGTCTGATGTGTCAGTCCTGCTCTGGTGTGGTCACTTAGGGCAACCTGATCTTGGACGGTCATCTGTCCTGCCAGTCTGCTGAAACCTTCTCTGCAGTCGGGACACAGTGGAGCGGCTTACTCCATAGTGTTTGGCAACGCTGGCACATGACATGCCTGCTTGCAGCATGCCAATGGCCCTCTCCCTTGCGTCTGGTGATATTCTAGGCATTATTGAATGCACAGAAAACTGTGGTCTTTTTCTTACTGTAACCTAAGCTTTGAATTAAGGCCTTTTTAAAGGTGACCTGATCAGGCATTGTTCCACCTGGACCTCGTTGGGTAAAAGTACACCTGATGAGCTTTCGAGTGATTGGCAGGTTGCAATGCCTCACTGCACAAGCTGTATTGCTGGTCAGAGGGCTTAAAACAAATTGACAACTTTTTGTGAAAGTACATAAGCTATAACTATCGTATTCTCATTCCAGAAAATGTTGCGTTTCTTTTTTCCATCAGTATATATAAAGAATATTTGCACCTGATCTCTTCTGCTGTGCATTTGTATACAAAATCCTACAAGAAGTTTGTTGCACACTAGGAAGTAGACCTGCTACAGTATGTGTATTAAAACGATCAGCCACCAAGTTGGAGGTGGAAATATTTAGTTTTTCTCACAGCACCCTCTTGTGGTGTCGTCGTCAGCCTTCAGGTCGAGATGAGGATAGGGATGGAAGGTGTGGTCCAGGTGTGGTCCGACTGTGGTACGAGTGTGTGTCTCAGCCCTGTTTTGTACACAGCATTTTTCCTCACTGTACTCTCTAATGGCTTTGTGTGAGCCTCTTTTTGTGCTGTCAATGACACCACCCGACTTGTGAGTGCGAAACGGTTGTGTGTTTGTGTGTGGGCGGGTAGTTGGGGCTGTCCTGTCCAGGGAGATGGATTAGCTATGCCGCCAGTCTCAAGCCCACCCCTATCCTACGTGAGTCTGGTGCCATCGCACCCCTCCCCCTTGCAGACGGGAGATCCTGACGGGTCCCGCGCCCTGCTGTACTGTGTTGTCGTGAGCAGAGGGCCAAGAGGAGGGCTCGGGAGGGGTCAGAGAATGCGAAGAGGAGGCGCCCCGAGGCTGGCTGTGGGAGCCAGGGGGGCGTGGACCGTGACCGCCACAAAAACGGGGATGACGTGGAGGCCGTCACGCTGTTCGAAGTGATCACCATGGGGAAGAGTGCCATGCAGGTACGCGCCTTCATTTTCGTCCACAGGCCAGCTCGTGAATCGAAATATGGGGCACAGGTGCCTGCCCCGTCAAAGCAGCGCGCTGCAGTGAAGGCTGCGAAGGCTCCTTGACTGACCTGTCTGTGCTATCTTTGTTTTGAAGTCAGTGGTGGACGACTGGATAGAGGCCTACCAGGCAGACCGAGATACAGCACTTCTGGATCTCATCAGCTTCTTCATCCAGTGCTCGGGATGCAAAGGCAATTTTTTTCTTGCATCCCTTTTCAAGTGGTGGCATAGAAAGACCATGTTTCTCCAACTCATGTGAAGCAGCCAGTTTGCTTGAGGTGTGCAACACAATGAAGGGTAGAATTTAAAAAAACTGTCTGAGCGTGATGCGTTTTTTGCCTGCACCTGCTCATGAGAACATCTACAGGTTAGAAAAGCCATATGAGAACTTCTGATTCCCATATTTCTGAAGCAGAATGTCAGCAAGCACTGGTGACTAGAGAAATTGGCGGTGTACTTTTGTGATCTCTGGATTTCTTGCTGCAGGTGTTGTCACAGCTGAAATGTTTCAGAACAAAGAGGACAACGAAGTCATGAACAAAATGGTGGAAGAGCTAGATGAGGTACGCGTTGTTTTACCAAAGATGAGGCATTGGGGTTTTTTCTTGTGCTTCACAGAAAGCCAAAATGGAAGTGAATCTTCTGATAAAAAGCATAACAGTTACTTAAAGAAACTTGCTCAGTTGAGTGCAGAAAATGCCAGGCTGAGAATGATAAATTACTCCCACCGCTAACTCCTGTACCTGTGGTTTTCAGATTGTGTGTGTGAATGTGAGGTGGTCCATTGCAAGAAAATAGTTAAAGTGCTCAGTAAGGCACAGCATTACAAAGCCTTCCAAATACATCCAGGATGAAGGAAATTCAGACTTCAAAAGGCCCATGACAAGAACGTAAATTCCTGGAGCACCACAAGGTTGTTTGGTTTTCCTATCCCCTGAGCTCTGTGTTCACTAATTATAAATTTAATTTTAAATCAGAACAGTTTACTGCTTTTCCCATGACTTAAGCAGATGCTGATTTAATTAAAAGACCTATTAATCCTGTGTGGCCCTGCAAGAGTTGGGATACTTTTGGTAAACGAAAGAAAGGTGGAGGGCTTGACTGGACAAAATTGACTATATTAATTGAATACTGAGTTCTTTCTCTTAGCACTGCTATCTTTTTCTTAACTATGTTTTCAGATTTGAAGATTTATGCTTGTGATTCTTGTGTATTTTTAAAGGGATCCGGCTTACAGTACAAGAAGTTCCTGGCTTTTCCTTGGATCCTCACAGTGACATGGCCAATGGAATTGGTAAAATTATGGATTGTCAGCTGTTCATGGACTGTCCTTACCCTAACCATTTGTCCTTCCATTTACGCACTGCAGTCATTTTAAATGCAGTTTGGTTCTGCTTCTGAGAGACTGTTGCTAGACGAGCTGTCAAGATCCCTTGTATATCACCACCGGCAGATTGTGTTCTCCTGCTGACATTTAAGCATTTCTGATTTCATGAACAGCAATAATGAGACCAGTTTTAGCTTTCTCTTACTCTTACCCATGCTGTTTTTTTTTTTTCAGTGGCTCTCACTTCCATAGGAACAGAAGCCAGACATGTTAAATTGATCATCCTTGTTACAGATGCAGTGTATTACAAGTGCAGCCAAATGTCAAGTACCTGCATACTGCATCCAACCCAAACACAGCAGTATCTGGTGTTGTGGTCACATGCACCTTGAGGCAGTCTGGAGATAATTCCTCTATTTTTTATTGTTGCAGATGTCCTTAGAAAAAAAAACAACACTTGAAGTTGCTCTTAGGAGTTTTTCTTAGAGTTCATATTTACTAGATGTTGTTAACATTGAAATCACATGTTTTGAGCTTGACGATTAGAAGTGGTTAAAGCTTACTCTTGCATTGCAAGGTGAGATCAGAGGAAAAGACTGGTTAAGCACAGAGCAATCTTGGTAATACACAGAATAAAAAGGTACAAGTACAGCAGATTATCCTCATGGTATTGTAGGTAAACCACCATAAAACTGAAAAGAAGTAGATTTAATGTGGTATACTTTGTTAACGTACGAGATAAAATCTGTGCGATTTTTTGAACACTCCCACACATCACATTAATTCTATCCATCCACTTTCTAACCACTTCACCCATGGGGGAACCAGAGCCTATCCAGGCAAACCACAGGTGCACAGCAGCACAGACCCTGAGCAGGAAAGCACACACACAGCCAGGTCCTACTTACAAGCCAATTTACCTAACAGCACGTCTGTGAATTGTGGGAGGCAACTGGAGCACCAGAAACAAACCCACACGAACCTAGAGAGAGCATACAAACTCCACACAGTCACCAACCCAGGGCAGCAAGCGCTGTGAGACAGCATTGGCAACCACTGCGCCACCATGCCAGTCTATATTAATAGATCTTTCTTCAGAAATGGAGAAATTTAGTTTAATACCCTTAACTCTCCCTCTGCTTTTTCAGGACAGTGGTGATTACCCCCTCACAATGCCTGGGCCCTACTGGAAGAAGTTCAGGTCCAATTTCTGTGAGTTTGTCGAAGTGCTGGTTTCTCAGTGTCAGTACAACGTCATCTTTGACAGCTACCTGATGGACACAGTCATCTCCCTGCTGACTGAGCTGTCTGACTCGGGAGTCCGAGCCTTTAGACACACCTGTACACTGGCTGGTAAGAAAGAGAGCAGTCCCGGGGGTCAGAACATATCGATGTGAAGGGGGTCTTTAATGCATGCAGGTGAACTGTTGAATTAAAGTTCCTTTTTTATCTGTGCCCGTACAAACATTGGCAACCAGTTAAATACATTCATCAAAATTAATTTTTTATGGATACTGTTATCATGTGACAATGCATAGCCCCACAGCTCTGACAGTAGGGAAATCGACTTAAAATGTAGTTTCAGATACTTTAAAACAGTAAGTGACTTGGATAACTAAATTTCTACACACGTAAGCACTAAAACTCATTTTACTGAGGCAAGAGGACATGAAGGATGAAAAGGGAATCCTCTAACTCCTGTCAAATTTGGCTAGAGATGAGGTAACTCACCTGCATTGAGCTGCTCACACATTTCTCAGTGGGCCTGCAGTCTGTGGAGGTAACTGTGGAGTGTTGCTCTTGTTCTTCAGCTGTGAAGCTCCTGACTGCCCTGGCTGGCGTGGCTCTGAACCTGGGTGTTAACATAGACAACTCTCAGAGGCTGTATGAAGTGGAGAAGGTCAAGGCCCCCTCCAAACGTGCAAGCCCCAGAGTGGAAAAGCTAGAAAAGAAAATCGATGAGGTATTGCAACAGATGAAAAGTGTCATCGGGTTTTGCCATTAGGAACAAAAGCAAAAAAAAGTGCAAAAAATAAACGTGGTCAGAAAGAGACAAAAACAGGTTCCATTTTTTCCACTTAATTTAAGTATAGTGAAACTGAAACTGAAATTCTAACACTTTTTCTAAGAAGCTAAGTTAACGGCAGGGATTAAACAAATCAGGAGAATATTTTTCCCCTTATTAATAGAGATATTAGTGAATCTAATATTTTTATGTTAGTGTAGTGAATGAGATAAAAATGAAAACTAAACTTGTTTTCCAGATTTGTGAGCAATACTGTATATAAGCTAATTTATCAATCTGTCTGTGTGTAGTATTAATTCATGGCTGTCAACAGTTGAAACTGTTTGACTTTTTTTAGTCAAGAAGAACCTTGTTTGACTTCAGGTCTTCCTTCCTGCCTTCATATCTGACTTGAAGACTCCAGCATGGAGTCAAATCTGTTTTTGGAGTTGCTGTATAGTTTTATTATGAAATGGTTTGCATTATTGGATTCATTTATTTTAAACATTTATTAACAACAGTAATGCACAGTAACACACAAGTTTTTTTTAACTTGTATTAATGGACACTTCTTCTTCATTAGGAAACAGTATACTCTGTGGTAAAGACAAATTTTGGCACTGCCCGAGCCTTTCTAACATCGAACCTGCTAAAGCTTTGAAGGCCTTTATTGCTCATGGGTCTGACTCCCTCTTCTCTAAGGGCTGAACGCGTCTGACAATTTAACCACTACAAAGGCGGTTTGATTTTTTTTCTTTCCACTAAGCAGCTGTAGTAAACCTCTTGTATGTGGAGTAAAATGTTTTTGGCTTCTTTTATAGTTGCAAGACAGAAGACAAGAAATAGAAAATATGATGGATGCCATTTTTAAAGGAGTGTTTCTGAAGAGATACCGGTAAGATGTTTTATTTTGAAATACCATCGATAAGAATGCTTCTTTTATTGGCCTGCTGTGTCAGGGGTGCACTTTTCACTTTTATCCAGTGCTGAAAATGTGCCTGGAGAGTTGTTGTTGTACCCACTCATTTTGGAGTCTTCAACTATAATCCTCACGACTACACACATGGGAGAATGAGGAAATGCAGGCAGACTCCACCTTCCACCTAGCTTCGAGCCAATCATCTTTGAACACATCACAGGCAGCACCGCCTAGTGCTAGATTTCACCGCTGATTGGAGGAGAGCTGCGTCTGTCACTGGCACTGAAGCCCTGCATGCACCCAGGAGGCCACAGGGGTCTCTGTGTCACTGAGAGCCAAAAGTTCCCCTGTTGACTAACTCCTTCCCAGCTTCAGCAGCACTCAGTCAATTGTACACAACTGGTGCGGGATCTAGTTGCAGTTGGCTCGAACCCCTGACATCAGAACTCAGTGTGCACTTGTAATATAATTATGTTCTCATTTGTCATAACATGAAAAATGTACACCTTTTCTGAACCGGAACCACGTTGTTATGAATAATCAAGCTGCCCACAACCAATCTTTTTGTTCCCGTGTCGTTGAATAAATGTAGACTACCTGCAAATAACATTGAGAATTTATGTTTATTATTATGCAGCAGTTAATGCACCACCTTTCTTCCTCAGTTTATTCATTCTCATTCTATATATCCATTCTCAAGGACCCCAGTCATCCCAGTCACAAACTGTTTTCCCTCCTACCGTCCGGTAAATGGTACCAAAGCATTCGGTCCAACAGACTACGGAACAGCTTCTACCTCCAGGCAATAAGACTGATTAATACTGTAGCCAACCTGCAGCTCCTTTAGCAAATCACCTGTAATGGCTACATGGACACACAGTTTTCACTGTATTCAGCATAACCGCACTACTTGTATATATTGCACACACCATGGACACACAGCAGCTCTACTCATATTGAGTTTTATTCAATTTCTATTACATCTATTATTTTGTAACCTTATTTTCACAACCTCAATTTTGTGATTTTTGTGTTTTTGTGATTTTTATGATTTCTGTGATTCTTGTGCTTTTTGTGAGCTCGCGGAACAGACATTTCATTGCCAGCAACTACTGCTGCATGCTGTATTGTTGTGCATTTGATAATTCAACTTTGATTTGATGTACAGTATTTCAAATGATTGCAGTTCTAAAATTTAACTAGATGCACGGGAGCGCAATGTTTAGTTCTCCTGATTTATCTCTGTTCAAACATGATCTTTGCTTCATCTTTGGTCTCTTGATTCTCCCCCCCCCCCCCCCTTTCTCCTTGGAAACTACCAGCGATGTGATTCCTGAAATCAGAGCGATCTGCATGGAAGAGCTCTGCCTCTGGATGAGGTTGTACAGCCAGGTGTTTTTGAACGACAGCTACTTGAAATACATCGGATGGATGCTGCACGATAAGGTTTGTGGAGGGAGGAAAAACACATGCATTTCTTTTCCTTGGCAGCAAAACTATTATATTGTGGATTTTAGACTATTTTAACTTCTACAAGGCTGCCTGGGTATAAGGAAGTTCCTTGCTTTGCAGAATGTGGACATTTGTTTCCCGCTTCAGGGCTCAATTTTGGCTTTAACTGAGCATGTGTAGCAAGTAACCTTTGGTTATTAAGAGGGCTCTGTGAGTGACAGCAAGCCCTCAAGCAACCATGTTGCCAAGGACTCATGCCACTCTGTCACACGTGAATGCCCCAGTTATTAATGGTATTATATTCTTGTCAGTACACTATTAATAAATCGTGGCCCCAGGGTGCGGTATGAACTGTCTACACGTTTTCATTGTTTAGGAAAAGGACAGGAAGCAGCATTTATGCACTTCCTGCATTTAGAAACCACAGGAAACTTTTCAAACGCTTTTGAGCAGACGTGAGACGTGGAAACTTTTTGTTAGGCAAGGGAGTTTAAAGAACGCAGGGGGCTGAGGCTCGATCCAGGTGTGTGGAATCTCTCTTGCCTTCTGGATTTAGGCATCACAGACCAGCTGAAGAAGAATTTCAGGCTTGGAATTCTTGCCATATCGCGTGATCTTGATCACTCTGTAAGAAGTTGCCCTTTGTAAGAGAATCGCTTCTCGCAAATACTTTTTTCTTTCTAATTAGGATGGAAAATCGGCTGTGTTTCTTTCAAAGCCACACCTTCCGACATGCAGGTTTAAAATATTTAATGGTAGCTCCTGTTACTGCAGGGCACTGGCCTTAAAGTAATAACATATAGGAATCCTCTGTAGTTTTGTTGCATCTACCCGCCAATGTTCATGAAAGACCTTACGGTTGTCAAAAAACAAACAGATTTTTTTGTTAATTTTCATGTCTTCTTTAAACAAAGATAATCTTACGGTTGCTTAAGGTTTACAACACCTTTTGTTGTTTTGGTTACGTTATTGTCATATCAAATTTAAATCCATATTAAATGATTAACAGAAAACACAAGATGAGAAGTAAGGAATGAGCCTTTAACTGGATTGAAAGAGAGCTCTGTTAAGTTAAGATCAGCCTGCTTGCTTGAGGTGTTAGATTAGCAGCCTCCATTGACCAGCGTCTTCCTCAATCTCATTTCTCATTCCAGCAACCGGAAGTCCGTTTAAAGTGCGTGCTGGGATTGCAGGGGCTTTATGGAGATGATGCCCTTGTTTCAAAGCTGGACCTCTTCACCAGTCGTTTTAAGGTAATTGTCTTTTTCTTAATTGTTTTCTGTACCTGCCTTTCTGTGGTACCGCTGCAGGCAACTGGGATTTCATACCATGTGATCTTGTTAACTCTGGGATTCGGAAAACATTTATTCAGTTTAACGGGCTCCAAGTGGCAAGCAGTTTCCTTCAGCAGAAATACATTTAGTCATTTTGGCGTTGGTAAGATTGTGTCTGTGTTGATGCTAGTGTACAGGTGGTTGACCCATTACTAGTGAATTAATGAATGTCAGCTTGTTAGAGGCTTCCTTAGGTTTGCCTCAGGCTGTGTAACCCCACCGTTCGGTCATTATGCAGAGGGATTGAAAGGCCCCCTTGCATTTCATTACAGAAATAAGAGTGCCTGAAGCAGAGAATAGATTGGGACACTCTTGCTAGAATAAACATGGAGAAACAGTACATGACTGTGAATCTGTGGTTTTTAAAGAGAAGATGTCTCGCCGTGCCAGGTTTAGAAAGTTTTCCAGCTCTTTAAGGCCATATACAGGTTTGTGGAAGACTGGCTCTCGTAAGCCATGTGTTTGAAAAGGCGATTTGCCTTCTGAACCGACCCAGGCAATTGCATAGCAGGAAGCCGGTGTCTGTTACAGTTCCTGATGTTGATGGCGGTGGAGAAGGCTGTTGTTTCTATCACAGATGTGGAAGTACAGTGTGAAAGCCAGGGCAGGTCAGATGAGTTTTGGGGGTATTCATTATAACATGATGGGGCACATTTTGCTACACCGAAAGCATAGCTACCGCACACTGATTTTTTGAGGGCGGTGGTATATCATCTTATTTTTCAGTTTGAACTTTTATTGCTGTTGCTCACTGGTATGTTCTGCTGATCATTTTGCAAATGAAATTGGCCGGGAAAATTTATATCAACACCTCTCTCAGTACTGAGGTTTGTAAACTGATCAGTTTCTCTCCATCCATCCATTTTCTAATCACTTCATTCATTTCAGTGTTGGGGGGGAATCTGAGCCTATCCTGGCAAGCTATAGGGTGCCAGTCCATCTCAGAGTAGACACAGACACACAAACACACTCACCAGGACCAGTTTTTCTCAGAAGCCAGTTAACCTACCTTTACATCTTTGAGCTGTGGGAGGAAACTGTGCAAACAAGGAGATGACACACAAACTCCACACAGATAGCACCTCAGGTCCTGAATTGAGCCAAAGGCCACAGCACTGTGAGGCAGCAATGCTAACCACTGCACCAACGTGCCACCCTGAACCATAACTACTAAACTTTAAGATCGTTTAAGATAAACAAGTCAGGTTGAAAGTGCTACAATGTGATCTGATGAAACAAAGCATTTCCCCATTTGGACTGCCGTTGTGTTCAGCAGTAGGAAATTGGAATTTGCATTATCCTTTACATTGCAGCATTAAAACAGAGAGAAGACAGAGTGAAAGATAAAACATTTTTAGAGCCGAGGTTGCTTTAGGGGTTTGCTTTATGAAGATTAGATTCATACTTAAGCCTGTCTCTTTCTTTATGTGACCACTGTGATTTTCCTTGCAGGACAGAATAAGTTCCATGACTCTGGACAAAGACCATGAAGTAGCTGTATGTGCCATGAAGTTGCTCACCATCATATCACAGTGAGTTGGCACTCCTGTCGTGGTTGTTTTTGTCTCCTAGCAGTCCATTTCAGCCAACTCCCTCTGGCTGTGTTACATCACACATTTCTCATCCACTCACAACTTCTGCAGCAGGAGGGCCATCAACATGGAGTGGATCAAAATCCGCTTCGGAGCCCGGAGCCGAACCATGTCCCTGTAGATCTGAATCCTGCATCTGTCAGAGAGTTTAATCACCAGCCAGGCATCCGACAGGACATTAATGGTGGAATGCTCTTGTCAATACTATCATCACTTACATTTTTTCTGTGTTTTTAAGTAATAGGAAGAAGGATCAAATATAGCATATCTTATCTGAAAGGGTTTTGAATAATGCCAGCTCAAAACATGACGGTTTGACTCGATTTGCCTCGGTTTCCTCGTTCTCCTGTCCTGTGGTATTTACTTTTGTAATCTGGGACGTTACCAGATTGACCCTTTTTCATTCTTAAGAACCATTAAACTTCTGTTGGGCTGCTTAGGAACTGACCTTTTGGTGCACCAATTACAGGTGAACATTGATATATTTTCACCTAACCTTCTCTGTGGATAAAATCACATGTGAAGCTCTTTCTTTCAGGACCTGTGAAGATGTTCTGACTGCTGAAGACTGTAAACACATGTTCCAGTTTGTTTATGCCTCTTACAGGCCCCTTGCTTCTGCTGCGGGAGAGTTTGTGTATGAGAAGTAAGTTGACAAAAATATAGTCTCTGCATAGAGCCGAGTCTGATCCCCCAGGGTTTGCAACATGCTAAACAGCTGCATTGCTTGTGTGTGCGCAGTGACATTTCCAGTTAAAGTCCCAACAAAGCATAAGGACCGATCTCCAAAGAAGCAGCAGGAAAAGATATCATTTTATTGAACAGCTTTGCAGAATCTGCTTGTGCTTTTGTCAGATTGTCGTTAACTTAAGGAAATAAGAAAAGTTGCGTACAAGAGGAGATCATTTGGCCCATTTTCTCTAATGATAGTAGTTAATTGATCCAATGATCCCATCCCGGTCTTTCTTGAAGGAAATCAGGGTACCAGCTTTGACTACCTGGCTGTGTAGCTTTTTTCAGACTCCCAATTGGTTGTGTTTGTAGTATTGAGATGTAAAAAACCGCTCCGTCTCCTGTTCAGCTGTTGAGGTGCATTTTAAATGTAGTAGGTGTTTGTTTCTATTACAGTGATTCTCTCATGAGGGTGTGTGGGCGATGGATTGAGGCTGGCTTTTTCAAATATGTAGACACATGTTGCGGCGTTGCAGTTGGTGTGAAAAGACCTCATTAGGAAGCTCAAACAGGAATTTTACAAGTCGGATGTTGCACGGTACTGCGTAATGGAGGGAATTGCTGGGAACCGATCTGCCAGGATCTCATTTTCTTTCTCCTCAGGCTGCTCAGTTCCCCTGAGCCACTGGAGAAGGCAGAAGGAGTCTTGGAAAAGAAGGGGCAGTGCAGTCTGACCGCATCCAGAATGAGAACTCTGATCCACTTCTTCCAGGAGGGCGGGGTGAGAAATTCGGCTTCCGCCTTGCTGTCGTGTTAACGGCCCTGACTGCATTCTGTCCTGCAACATGCGAGTCCTCTAATTACATTCCAGGACACGTCCAGGGCGACCCTTTTCCTTTCAGAAAGAGATGCCTCCCATTGAAAGAGCTGTGCTGTAAATGTGAGGCTTGTGACATTTAGGAACATCCTCAGGGGGCATTTCCGTGTAATTCTCAATAACTGTAACGGCTATTGAATTCCTTTTGGATTTCAGTTGAGACAGTGCTGCAGATCTGCAGATGATCCGCTTCCCACCTGTTTGAAGTGAAATGAACCATTTTGAGCAAGACAGCAGCTCACTTTAGATTGTTCCTTGTTACTGTTCGTGCTTGACAGGCAGACGGTTTCATCCAGGGTGACTTACAGTCGACGAAAGCAGTCTGTCCCATCGAATATCAATTTCATGTGCAGTAAAGAACAGGAAGTAGTGAACTTAAATGAGGCTGCTGTAAGTGGGATTTTAACTTCTCCTGCTGCTGGTGCTGTTTGCTATGCACAAGTCTATGTGAGAGAACTGACCTGTGGAGTTGGCTTGTAGGTTCATCAGCACGTGGCCTACCTGGTGGACAGCCTGTGGGACTCTGCGGCCTCTCTG